CTCCCATCTTCATTTCCCACTTCTGAAACCCCCCTTCCCTCCCTATCACCCACTCCCCACCCCTGCATTCCCTATCAATCCCTATATCAGTTATTTTCACTATGCATCCATTCCTCCTGTGGGTCACAAACTGGGAAACCCAACAGAAACAATAAAAACAAAATTTTAAATAAGGTGTTAAGGATAAAATAATAATATAAAGACCAAAATGCAAATAATGAGTAAGAAAGAAAGATCCTCATCAACATTCAAAAAGCCAGGGAAGACATTTTTGTCATGGAAGAAGTCAGAGAAACATGCACACAGAACTGACTCAGGCTGGGCCTATAGGGAGGTCATCTGGCCAGAAATCTACTTTGATTCAGCATATTCAAGATTACAATGGTCTCTGCCTGACAGCAAGGCTGTTTGAGACTCTTGCCTGTGGTTAGAGTGGATCTGACCATATACTCTACAGATGGGTTTTGGGCTCCCACTGTCCTCCCGTAGCCTTGTACAAATTGGGTGTTCATAATTTTAGCTCTGATACTTTTCCCTTTACCATATTCAAATTTAAACAATTTCTTCTTTGGAGCACACAAGCTGGTGGGCTTCTTCGCTGTGGAATTCGTTGACAAAATCAGAAAAAAAACAAGCTGCGAGCAGAAAAGCCAAAGCTTATGTAAACAAAGAAGTGTGGCATTGTGAGTGGCCTAACTTTTGCATTAAAGTGTACAATGGGTTATTGTGAGAGTAAATAGAAGGGATAAAATAATGGCTATGAAAAGACTTGCAAAATAGAAATGAAGGAAATGTATTACTTTGAAAAAGTCGTGGTATATAAACAACCCCTTGACTATCAGAACTCTTAATACATGAGGTGTTTATGGAGTCAGCTGGGTTAGCAAAGTTTATGGGTTAAGACAACAGCAACTCCTGTCTAGAACTCAAATTTCATCATGAAACTATATGTTTATCTATATGCATGCTTACCTAACCAATTATTGCGGGTGCGTGTGAAATCTAATGTCTATGTGTTATAGCAATGGACTAATATAAGCACAACACATTTGTATATACGTACATATATGTGTGTGCTTTTTTCTTTTTAGAAACAATTTTTAAGGGGAAATGATGCTGAAAAGAACTTTGCTTAAATGTACTTTATTTAGGTACGATGGTTGCTTGGGGTCCCTGGTTGTGTGACCATTTATCTCAGTTTTACTAGGACAGTCCAGGCTGCAGAACATTCTGGGCCAAGCCCAGGCATGGGTAAAAGATTGTGGCAGGAGACTTCTGCTTCTGTTAAAGATATGGTAGGCTATTCAGATTAATCTTCCCAACATGAAAAAATTGCAAATGCTAGATCATTTTCTTCTTGACAGTCAATGACAAGCTATTTAATAGCACTCATCCTGCAGGAAGGGAAACAAGACAAAGAGAGATCACGACGTTTGCATTGGAGCCCAATTTTAGCACAGGTTTTGATGTTTTCACAAAGAGAGAGGTTTGAAATCAAAACCCAGAACTCATCGAATGAAAAAGGGAATGAAAGAAAACCTTTCTTTGGACCCTCAAACAGCTTTATCTCAGGATAAAAGCAAATCAGAAATAAACCTGCTTTCATTTATTGTGCAATGCAAATTCACATTGCCTGTCTGTCCAAAAATATTAAACTCTTGCAGTTGAATTGAGCACCTTGCAGAGGGGAATGCAAATATTTACTAGAGAACCTTCATCATAGACCTCAATTATTCATGGATGTAATGATTTTAAAAACAACGAGCAACACAGGACAAGAAAATTCAAGTGGAAAAGAAGGCAACTAGAAGCACAGTGCAAGTCAATGGATAATCATAAAGGGCTTCTAAGGTACTGGATAGCAGAAGTATCAGACTTAGACTATAAAAAGAATTATCTTTATTTTATTTGAAACGTAAATGACAAACTTAAAAATATATGCAGGAAAGGATAATCTATGAAATAAGTTATATTTGACCTATAGTAAGTAAAAGAAACAAGGGAAAAATAATGAATGTTTTAAAAGTAAAATTAGATAAGAAGAAAAGAGAATTTGCAAACTGGCAGATGCAATCAGGAGAAATTATACAGACTTTACAGGACACAAAGACACAGAGATGGGAAAGTGAAACTAATGATTAATAGCCATGGAAGACACAAAGAGAATGCCAAATATATGTCTAATTAGAGTTTCAGAAAACGAGAATGGGACAGTGACAATAGTTTAGGAGGTAGTAGCTAAGAATGCTCTGTAAAGATCTTAGAGAAAAGTCCCAAATCCCAAGCAGATACAGTGTTTAATCCCCTGTACCTCTCCCACTGCCTTGAGTCAGTGCTGACTCCTGCCCCCTGTGGGTTTCCGAGACTGTAAATGGTGACAGGAGCTGCTGGGGCAGTGGCTCCCAACCTTCCTCATGTGGCGACCCTTTCGTACGGTGCCTTACAACCATAACATTATTTTCATTGTTACTTCATAACTGTCATTTTGCTACTATTATGAATCGTCATATAGGTATCTGATATGCAGAATGTATTTTCATTTTACAAATTAAACATAATGAAAGCATAGTGATTCATCACAAAAGTAATATGTAAGTATATATTTTGAAATATTTACTTGTAATTTCAAATCAATGAAGTTTTGTCTTCAAGCATGGTGTAGCATGGGTCACAGTCTTCACGCCGGGTACTAATATGTGGGTGTACCTGCATGTGGGTGTACCCGCCTGGAGATGGATAGAGGAGCGGTTTCTCGGTTCCTAAGACCATCGTAAATAAGTGTTTTCCAATGGTCTTAAGCGACTCCTATGGAAAAGGCGTTCGACCCCCAAAGGGGTCGTGACCCACAGGTTGAGAACCGCTGTGCTGGTGGTTTCCAACTACCAACCATGCAGATAGCTGCCCAGCACATAACCACTCGCCACCAGCCTTTCCCTGTACTAGACATGCACTATTGTACCTGTCACAGCGAGACACGGCCAAGTACCAGACACTGTGAAAGGAAAAAGATACATGACCTGCAAATGAACTATGTGATTGAGAATGATCACCCCAGCTCCAAAAATGACCCCAAGGGACGTGGCACTACATTTTCAAAGTGCTGAGTGAAAATAGCTCCCAGTATAGAATACTATGCCCAGAAAAAGAAATATTTTGTATAAAACAGAAGGAACAAACAAATTAAATAAAAACAGCTGGGCCTTAGAAGGCTCTCACTAATGGAAATTCTAAAAGATTTAGAAAAAGAAAAGTAATCTGAGATGGAAGTTCCAAGATTAAAAGTAAATAAAGTATTAAATATGTAAGCAAGCACATGTAAACAAATGTTGACTCTATAAAACAATGATTTTTTTCAGTAAAAAAGAGATAGAATGAAATACACACAAAAGCATTAAATTGGGAAAAGTGTAAATAGGTTACAGTACTTTAAGATCCTTATATTTCTAAGAGAAGGGTAAAATACTGGAGTAGCTATAGGTTCCAGTACATTTCTTTGTTTTAACTCACAGAGTCACCACTATAAAACCAAACCAAACCCAAATGCCAAATGAATACCTAGAAGCTTTAGCTTTTAAGGTAATATTTGGGGAAGGGGGCAAAGGAAGGGTTAAAAATAAATAACTTTTGTTCTTAAGAAAGGACAAAGAAATTAACCATAGCACAGGCAAACAAGATGTACAGTGTAAGATTATTGGTTCAAAAGAGTAATCAGTAATAGCATTCAGTACTCTAGTTAAATGCCAAAGGCTGCTAGGTAGGTTAAAAAATATAAGATAAACATATATAAAACAAAGGCACAGAAAGTTTGAAAGTTAAAGAATTAAAAATGATGTACCATGCAAACATCAACCAAGAGTAAACAGGTACAAGCAGATATAGCTATGAGGGAGCTTCAAAAAGTTCATGAAAAAATGTAATGAAAACATCATGGAATTTTTCAGTGAATTTTTGAGGCCCCCTTGGATATTAATAACAACATAGACTTTTAGGCAAAACATTACCAATAAAATTCGCTTTGCATACATCTAATAATGCTGCTTTAAAATATGACATCACCCCCCCTCCAATCTATGGATTCTCTTTTCACTGTAGCGTATTGCTTAAAAAGGTAAAAATGTCAGAGTAACAATCAATACCTGAATGGGAAAGTCAGTAGTGATGTGGTCACAAATGGAATATCATCCCTTAATGAAAGAAAGTTCATTATAGCTATTACACACACCAACATGGAAAAGTCTTGAAAGCCGTTTCTGAAGCACTGTCAGTAGGTTTGTGACATTCCATACTCTTTAACATTCTTTTTTTTAAAGATCATTTTATTGGGGGGCTCTTACAGCTCTTATAACAATCCATACATCAATTGTATCGAATATATTTGTACAAATGTTGCCATCAACATTTTCTGTCTTTTTTTAACAGAAATAATTTGTTAAAATCATTTAACTGGGGGCTTGTACAACTCTTATCACAATCCATACATCCATCCGTTGTGTCAAGCACATCTGTACATATGTTGCCATCATCATTCTAAAAACATTTGCTTTCTCCTTGAGCCCTTGGTCCCGTATACTTGAACTGCTAAGGAATTGTATTGAGTTGGGAGAAGCACCACTCCCTGGCCGCCCAGCACAGGGTTCTGAGAGTGTTGGGAGATGATAGCTTTGCTTGTTCAGCAGCTGCTGATGTTCTAACAAGAGGTGCTGTGACGAGAGAAATTGAGACCCCTCAGGCACTGTGGAGACCTCTGATCAGGGATGCTCACATGCAGAACATGGGGCAAACAGAACTGGGAAGAGAGTGTATGCGGACAAACTCTCAACATACATACATTAAGGGGTCTGGGAGTCCAGGGTTCCCATGGAGGGAGCCTTCACGTTTGCGGGTTGGAGATGCATCCACTCACATTCTCCTAAGTAAAAGTTACGCCCTTCAATGTCCCACCAGAATAGTGCCAAACTTGAGGTGCTGTTTGCAAACACATACCTTGAAGATCAACTGCTTGAGGTTGTCTGCCATCAAAAGCCATCAGATGGAGGGGAAGGGGTGGGGGGGGTGAATAGGAGCTGATACCAAGGGCTCAAATAGAAAGTGAATGTTTAAAAAGTAATGATGGCAACATATGTACAAATATGTTTGGTACATTTGATATATGGATTTTTATAAAAGCTGTAAGAGCCTCCAATAAAATGATCTTTAATAATAAGAAGAAATAAAATTAATCATACAACTCTTTGATATGATTGAACTATTAATTGTATGATATGTGGGAGAAGTGCCAACAAAACTGTTTTAAACCCCTCACCCCCATACACAAAAAAATAAAGCAATCAGACCCTAATGTCTGTCCCACCCTAAATAGGGCCCACTCCCTTCTGATAAGTATCATAGATTGTTCCCTTGCAGAAGCGCTCAAAGACACCTAAGGTCGAGCCATCTAAGAGACTACCAAGGTTAGGCTGCCATCTTGACTCTAGTGCCTCCCTTTCCTATTACGTACATACCCCTAGCTCGTCCCCCTCCTGTTCTGTGTATGCCTCTGTACAACCCCTTCCTGTGACTTATGAGCTTACCGTGTCTTGCCTGCCCAAGACATTATAAGTCTGTGAGTTAATAAAGTACAGTCTCATTCTGGTTCCGGTCATCATGGAAGAGGTGAGCCCTTATATTTGTTTGATGTCTCTTAATTTACCCCTCAATTACACAACTGCCCCTTGGACCCATTCAGTTGTGGAGGCTGGTCCCCCACAGACGGGAAACTTGAAGGAGACCATACATGGATCATCCCATTGTGACCTCAGAGTCACTATCACAGGGGACACTTCAAAAACTGAGGTCTCTGGAAGAACACATCAGCCTGTGTGATCACGAGGTGCTGAAGGGATCAGTTATCTGGCATCAAAGAACAAAAAATCATATCATTGTGTGCTCACCTCCATGATATGATCGCTGAAGATAAATGGGTGCATAAGCAAATGTGGTGAAGAAAGCTGATGGTGCCTGGTTATCAAAAGGTATAGCATCTGGGGGTCTTAAAGGCTTGAGGGTATATAAGCGGCCATCTAGCTCAGAAGCAACAAAGCCCACATGGAAGAAGCACACCAGCCTGTGTGATCACGAGGTGTCGAAGGAATCGGGTATAAGGTATCATGAGAACAAAAAAATCTTACCATAGTGAATGATGATGAGAGTACGGAGTGGAGACCCAAAACCCATTTGTAGACCACTGGAGATCCTCTTGCAGAGGGGTCTCAGGGTGGAGACGAGCCAGAAAGGGTGTGATGTAGCAACGATGAAAAATACAACTTTCCTCTAGTTCCTAAATGTTTCCTCCCCGCTCCCACTTTCATGACACGGATTCTACCTTGCAAGTCTGGCTAGACCAGAGGATGTACACTGGTACAGATAGGAACTGGAAACACAGGGAATCCAGGGAGGATGATCCCTTCAGGGCCAGTGGTGTGAGTGGTGATACTGGGAGGGTAGAGGGAGAATGGGTTGGAAAGAGGGAATCGATTACAAGGATCTATATGTGATCTCCTCCCTGGGGGATGGACAACAGAAAAGTGGCGAAGGGAGACGTCTGACAGGGCAGGATATGACAAAATAAACAATTTGTAAATTATCAAGGGCTCATGAGGGAGGGGGGAGCGGGGAGGGAGGGGGGAAAATGAGGACCTGGTGCCGAGGGCTTAAGTGGAGAACAAATGTTTTGAGAATGACGAGGGCAATGAATGTACAAATGTGCTTTACACAATTGATGTATGTATGGATTGTGAGCCTCTAATAAAATGATTTAAAACAAACAAGCAAAAAACAAAAACTGAGGTCTGGCCATCAATCTGTGTGCCTTTATCTGCTGTGATTTGAAAGTTAAAAATCCAGGGTCATTGTACACTAGTGGCAATGGTTACAGATATTTTGTAAGTTTTGAAAGACATGACTTTATAGAGTAAGTATACATTTCGCATGGGATATTCTAAGACAGTCTTTTGTTGCTCTACGTGAATCAGACCATGAACTTGTCTGTTTAGTCAAATAACTGCTGTTGGCTTTGGCATATTTTCTCTCTAAGGGCTTACTATTGCAGACAATGGAAACAGGAGAGAGAAAATGGATCATTTACAAGCTATCAGGCATGTGCAAAGGAGCCCTGGTGGTGCAGCGGGTTAAGCCCTTGGCTGTTAAATGAAAGGTCAGCAGTTTGAACCCACCAGGAGGAAAATGAGGCAGTCTGCTTCCATAATGTTTACATCTTCGGAAACCCTAGAGAATGGTCCTTCTGTTGTGTGGGGTCACGGTGAGTTGGAATGGGTGCAGAAACAGTGGGTGGGTCCGTGCATGTATGTGCATGCAGAGATATGACATATATATGACACTGCATGAGAGGTCACAGTCTTACCTTGTATGCCTGGTCACTGACAGCCTTAATATTGGCTTCTCTCCATTTTCCTGGCACCCCGCCAATTACTTCACGATAGTTCACATAATAGCCAGTAATTTCTGCCCCTCCAATCTTATCTGGATGCTTCCAACCAAGAACCATCGAGTCACGAAAACTTTCAAGACAAGTGATATCACAGGGTGGAGATGGTGCCGCTGTAGCAATATGAATAGCTTGTGAGTAGGCAGAAATGCATTTATGATTCCATGTATATTAAACTTGTTTAATTGGTGCTGTTCATGAAAGCAATAGGTCTTGCAGTGAAAACAGAAAACAAAAGCTAAAATGAGAAGCTGATCAGCAACTGGCATCCAATTTGGTGTATGAGGGGAAAAACGGATACAATAAAACTACACTTCAGGTCTTATTTTAAAAATAAGAAAAATAGTTTTGAAATATTAACAGCAAAATGATGGAAAAGTCTGGGGGGGAAAAGGATTCTCTTCCTTATCGGAAGAAATATTTATTTCTAAAGTATTTTTTATTCCTATGTTTCTTTATACGCTTGTGTGCATGTGTTTATTTTGATTCCTGAGGAAAGTAGAAAAAGTATATCAATTTTTACATCAATTTTCTTATTTAGAATTTCTGTATAGTTCTGGGTTAGCACTCCATTATTCAGGTATAGTCACTCACTTTTATGCGACCTTACAAATGTACAGATTCTGTCTGCACAGGGGGAAAAAATCTTATTCCAAAGCTCAGTTAAATGCCACATTTTAAGAAGAATTTTAAAAACTAGGCACAATCTTCCATGTGGCTTTCTCTTGGTATATGATACTTTACAGCAATATTTTGAACCATTTTTAGAATATTATTCACATAGCACAAAACACTAAACAGCTGTCACTGTGTTTATTGCTGCCGACCCAGAAAAAATATCTAGAAGGTATTTTTTTTAATCCTCATTTACGGTGGCTTTGCTGATCAACTTTTTACTCAACTGATGGAATTACAGTTTTAGATGTAGCGGGCTAAGGAGAGAAACCTGCCTAGATATAGAAAAACATCAACGATAATTTCCAGATGTTCAGTTGGATTATAAGGAGGCATACATTTTCAAAAAAGTTTTTAGAACAATGAAGCTGTCTTTTTCTCTACAATTAAAAAGAAAAACATCAACAACTTTCTTTTCCTTCTTATTTGAGAGCAACGTTGAATATAGATTCTCAATTAGCATCTTATATCCTCTTGAGTGGAAGGGACTGGTGGATGTGTCCAAAAAACAGAAGCCTCTGGAGATGTTGGTTGTGGTAGAAAAAAAGGGGTAGATACAGTTTACTAGCATATGAGGGTCATCCTTCCATTTTTATTTGACAATATAAACATTATTTCCTGGAATATTCAAGCTATCAGTACCAACTGTCTTAGACAATTATTAGCTAACAGATAGAGAGTCTTAAGTAAGTTCTGTCCAGGTGGATTGTGGTACACCATAAAATATAACTACATATGCTCATAATACTTCATTAAATGTTTCTTGGCAACGCAACTAAAATTATTTATATTGACTTGAGTTAAATGTGGAGGATCATTTGAGAAGGTAGCTATTATCCTGATAATATGGCATTCTCCTTAGCTATAGACTGAACACAGATATCTCCAGACATCTCACCTATGGTGGTCCCATCCTTTCTGCTCTCCTCTCTAACTCTCTAAACAACGTGAGCTCAAGGATGAGTGCAAGGTCAGTCTAAGGACTCCGTAACCAGTCATTCAAAGGGCTTCATTGCCATCAAGTCTGATGAACACTGTGTAAAAGCAAGAGCTATGCAAAATGAATTGTCTAACACATGCATGGATAACACATTAGACAAAAGTACTGTAAACGGCAACGTGCATGACCACAGATGGAAGAATGTGGTGTGGACGATGAGAGGTGAACACACTGATGGCGACAGATGGAACGGGTTGACTCTGCCAGTGCTCACCTCGGTCCTTCTTTGTTTTCGGAGGGTCAGACTTACTTTTCACCTTAGAAGCTGCTTTCTGTGGCGGTGGGGCGGGCTCTTCCTGAACGGGCTCACTTACTGTACTCACTTCACTTTTGCCCTTCTGTCTGGGAGAGCTAGTGGGCTGTGTAGGCTTGTTAAGTTTGCTACTAAGCAAAGCATCTTTCTTAGAGGTTGGCTGAGAGGCTTCATGCATGCCTCTCCGGAAGTCTGTTAGTCCGCCAGGTATGTCACTCAGTTCTGGACACACTTCTTGAGACACGCCTCCCCCTACAATTACCAGATAATGACAAAAACACTTTGAGCACAAATACGGCATAACTTGCTCTTACTCAATAGCACAAAGAGGACAGCCTTAGGATCACAAACAGATCGAAACCAGTCTTGGTTTAACAGAGACGCTTTGGATGTGAAAGAAACGTGGGAACCGCACAGTTCACAGAATTTACACAACGAACATTTCAGTTGCTCCACATTCCAGACAAAGAAGAAAGGAGAACAGAAAACTACAGACAGAACCACTTTGATTTTCAGAAGCCCAGCGTTTTAGTACATCCTCAAACATTTCTTGAGAGATGTCAGCCCTGTTATTCAACAGAATGATGCGGCAGGGAGAAGGACAGCACCAGACAAAAGACATATTATTAATGCTCTTGACTTTCGGATGAAGCAACATACAGTACAGTAGCAGTGCAACTCGGTGCCTCCCAACCTCAAAAACACACCTTGACTATTGCTTATTTTATACCCAAACCATACCCAACCAAACACGAGCTGACTGCAGCTCCTGCTGACCCCATTTCTAACAGGGGAGAACTGTTCTGGGGGGGGTTTCTTGTTTGAAATTGATCAGAAGCAATTCGCCAGCCCTTTCTTCTGTTGAGCTGTCGTGTGATTTTAAACTGCCAGCCTTTCATTAGTCGTCAAGTGCAAACCATTTGCACTAACCATGGTTGCCTGCCCATTTTATAAGAAATGCTAAAAAAAGTAATAGCGAACGCTTACTGACCACCTTCTCAACTCACTGCCGTCCAGTCAAGTGTGACTCATAGTGACCATATGCGGAAGGTGAGACCTGTAACTCTTCATGGGAGTAGAAAGCCCCATCTTTCTTCTCAGGAGCAGGGGGTGGTGTCAAACTGCTGAGCAATCTAGCAGCCCACTGTGGAACCAGTACTCCACCAGGGCCCCATAATGCTAGCTGAAGCCAATTGATATGAAACATTTTCTGGTTAAGTGTGCTATTATGTCACAAATTTGATTTATTTTTGGGCTGAACGAGTATTTGTCCAAGATTGGGAGGTACATCATGCACAGACATATAATTTATTTTGTTAATGGTTTTAGTCTGATGATCACCTTGCTAGCAGAGATGATGATGATTAATCAACAGCTTATGCCTGCATAGCTGTTAGTGCTTATGAAAAGTATGTTAATGTGCTGTTAGTGAAAATAAGCCAGCTTTGTTGCAGATGAAATGACTTTTAGGGACACGATGATGTGTGTTATGGATGATCTACCACTTGGTGGAGTCGGACGGTCCTTCCCATTTCCAGGATGCACATGAAGTTAGAGTGGAGTTGCACACAGAGGTTGATGGGAAATATCTGAGGAAGTTGGGCTCATGAAGATGGAAAGGCACAGAGACAGGAGGAGTGATGGTGATCTGAAAAGGACAGCTGCCGAGGGTGAGAGGTCATCTCCGAGAAAATGACCAGCTGAGGATGGGGCAACATTAGAAGCCTTTACATTTTTTCTGGACCGGATGGTACCTTCCTGTATCACTTAGAAAAATTCATTTGTTTTCCCTACAAAATTATGGGTAAGAAACTTACCAATAGCCGCTTTTACTTCAATGGCTTCTGAATCCTGCGAATAGTCACTGAGTCCAGCTGCATTCACTGCTCTGACTCGGAAAATGTATTTCTGACCAGTCACCAAGCCATGACAAGTAAATCTAAAAGAAAGAAATTTTAAAGAACTGTCCTCGGAGGAAAATTGGGGAAAAGGATCATTAGTTACCTAGATGACATAGCTTTCAGAAACCTATCATTAAAAAAGGAAAAGCTGGAGAGAGGTCCAAGTTTGGACGTCGAGGAAATTGAGGCAATTTCCTAAACTCTCTCTGCTGACAAACAAGGAGTCCTCGTTTGACACCGAATAAGTTCTCAGGTTTTGCTTTCTTTTTTCCCAGGTTTTCTGAGCTCTGTTTGCTCCTCAATAAAAGTAATTTGTAGAAATTGGCTACAAAATTAATACATAAGGCATTTCATAAAACAAGTATGATTAATATTAATGACTATTTCAGACATATATTGTGAGCGTTTAAGGCATCTGTCTACTCCATAGCTCAGAGAGCTAGCCTCTTCCCTCCCTTCCAGGGAAGGGACACTGCCTGAAAAATTACACTGGACACTAGAATCTAAAAATACGGTGGAAGATGAATTTCAGAATTATTAGTTAGATTTGAAGATTTGGTCATAAAACAGTCTTACTCTTCAATGGCAGCTTTTGTTATCAATAGTTACAACAGGAATCACTGTAGCATTTAATTCTACCACACTGTCTAAAACCTGAGGAAATAGCATGTCTGCTAGCGTTCACTAAGAGCCTTTAGAGCTAGTTGGTAAACTATTTGAAAGCAAAACCAAATAAAACAAAATGAAAATCACCAAACTCTAATTTATTTGATGACGTTGATGTTCAAAATGTCCCTATTTCGTCCCCAACACTTAAGTGAAAGTCAACAAAACGCCATTCAATGCCCATTTAAAATGCCTGGGTAGTTTATGTTAGGGAGAATCTCTTCCATCCTGGGAGTGCAGGCTCACCTCCCGGTGGCTATGAAAGATCAGTACACCGGTGGGTGGCCGGTGAGCCCATTCTGACTCAGGCCACCCTGGCGTGTCAGAGTTAGAACTGTGCTTCCTTGGGCTTTCCATGGTTGGTCTGGCTTTCGGAAAAGAGATGGCCAGGGCTCTTTCTCCCTGAGGTGCCTCTGGGGGCACTCAAACCTTTGGGTGAGCAGTGAGTGTGTTGTGCTGATCATTTGCATGACCTAGACACTTCGAAGTTCAGAGGAGAGGGGTGAAGGGAGAGGTCATCGCTTAAAGAACAAATCAGAAAAGAGATGGAAGGTGAACTCACACCATCTAGCCGGCACTGTATGTTTGTGAGTCTTTAACAACATAAGCAATCCTTGTTTATGCGTCACGTGCATCCACGTTCAATTGACGATGCCTGTGTGGGAACATCCTCTCTCTGCCCCTCTGCGGCTCTGCACCCCAGCCTCCCTGACGGCGAGTTACCGTGAGCCCTTCACCGGGTTGTTGTTGCAGGGCTCCCACGCGCCCGAGCCCACCACGCTGCCCTCGATGTAGTACCCCACCAGCTCCTTCACGTCTCTGGGTTCTTCCCAACTAACTACCACGGAGGTGTCTGTGTTTCTGCTTGGGATGATTTTGCTGGGAGCCTTGGGAATATCTGAGAAAAGAGAGAAGAGTGTTTTTTAAAAATTCATTCTTGTAACATATGCACACACGCACATCCCATGCAAACTTAACACAATCTTGTCATTTAGTTCATATTTAAAAATCAGAAAATGTGCAAAGAGATATGCTAGTTTATAAGAATGAACCACTTACTTCCCAACCCACTAACCATTCATTATTAAATGGGGAGTGATCATCAGATCATTAGCAATACTTTTGTAATTCCTAGAGAAGTTTGCTTTTCATAAATAATAAGAATACATAGTTTTGGTTAAATGTACAAGTCAAATAAAGCCACCCATTTAGGTTTATAATATGAAAGATGTCACCATTTTTACTCCTGAAAGGTATAAACCAAACCAAACCCACTGCCACCACAGGGAGTCTGCATGCTCGTGACCTCCAGAGCGGTTCGAGACCTGAGCCTTCCCTGGAGCAGAGCCTCGTCTTTCCGGTCCACAGGGATGCGGGGTTGGAACCCACCTGCCTGGCGGCTGGCAGCCCAACTGCTATGCACGCACACCAACCGGAGGCTGCTTTGTCTTTTTCTCTTGAGCGGAGGTGGAAGAATTCACACTTGCTTAGCTGAGCGGGCACTTACCAAGCTTGTCCCCTACCACAGTCACTGCGGTCGCTTCCGACGGCTCCCCAACTCCGGCCGAATTGGCGCAGCGGACGCGGAAGCTGTAGGATTTGCCTTCGGTCAAGTCGAAGAGCGCGAAGCGGGGCGACTTCACCGGGAGCTCTGTGTTGACCCGCTGCCAGTTGTGTGTGTCCGCTTCGCACTGCAGGGACAGGGACACCCAGGGGAGAGCACAGCAAGGGTGAGCAGATTCTAGGCCAGGCCGCTCGCTCGCGGCTTTCCTTTTCTGTCAACAATTTGACCTGTTAGGGGGGAATCGGGCTGGAGAAGATCTGGAGAAATGGGGGACGAGGCAACCAATGTCACACCCATTGCTGTCGAGTCATCCTAAGGCAGAGTGGCCCTAGAGGCCAGAGGACGACTGTCCCAGGGCGTTTCCAAGGCTAGAGGCTGTTCAGAAGCAGACTGGCCACACCTCTCTCCCTGGGAGCAGCTGGTGGCTTTGAACACTTTAACTGCTTGAACCACCATGATACAGAAGGTTCCTTTCCGATATCATGGGATGATCTAAATTACGGCTGGGTTATAAGGTACTTTAATGCCCACTTCTCCATTACCTAAGTAAGATCATTCACTAATTTTTAAACATTCTTAATTAATTCTTTAATAAATCATTTTATTTGGGGCTCTTACAGCTCATATAACAATCTATACACCAATGATATAAAGCACATTTGTACATATGTTGCCATCCTCATTTCCAAAACATTTTCTATTTGAGATCTTGGTATCAGCTCCTCTTTTTGCCCCTCTCTCCTCTGCCCTCCCACCCTCATGAACCATTGATAATTTAGAAATTATTTTTATCTTCATATCTTACACTGTCTGCTGTGTCCCTTCACTCACATTTCTGTTGTTCGTCCCTGGAGGGGTGGGCGTGGGAGTTGTGCATTGGTTTCCCCTTTCTCCCCCCACCTTCCCCCACCCTCATGGTATCGCTACTACCATTACTGGTCCTGAGGGGTTAATCTGTCCGGGATTCTGTGTGTTAAGAGCTCTTATCTGTACCAGTGTACATGCTCTGGTCTAGCCAGATTTGTAAGATAGAACTGGGTCAAGATGGTGGGGGGAAGAAGCATTAAAGAACTAGAGGAATGCTGTGTGTTTTGTCGTTGCTATGCTGCACCCTGGCTGACTCGTTTCTTCCTTGTGACCTTTCTGTGAAGGGATGTCCAATTGTCTACAGATGGTCTTTGGGTCTCCACTCCGACTCATGTGTTGTTTTTTTTAATCATTTTTTGGGGGGGCTCGTACAACTCTTCTCACAATCCATCCATCCATCCATTGTGTCAAGCACATTTGTACATTTCTTGCCATCATCATTCTCAAAACATTTGCTTTCTACTTGAGCCTTTGGTATCAGCTCCTCATTTTTCCCCTCCCTCCCCCACCCTCCCTCCCATATGAACCCTTGATAATTTATAAATTATTAATATTTTTTTATGTCTTACACTGACTGATGTCTCTCTTCACCCACTTTTTCTGTTGTGCATCCCCCTGGGAGGGGGAATTCTTAATTTATTTTGAGAAGAGTTTAGGGTCAGACATTTTTCTAATTTTTAGAACTCATCTATGTTTCCGTATCTTCATCTACAAACTGGGTATGATGGAAACAGATGTATTATCGGTTACATGTTGGGCGTTAATCCACATGGTTGGCAGTTTGAAACCACCAGCAGCTCCGCTGGAGAAAGACTGGGCTTTCAATTCTTGTAAACAGTTACAATCTTGGACACCAATAGGGGTTCGCTCGGAGTCAGCACTGACATGACGGCAGCAAGTTTTGGTTTTCCCTGACCTCCTAGGGTTATTGTAAGAATTAAGGGAGTTGCGCATGTTGAGCTTGTGGGACAGTGCCTGGTGCGGGGTAAATGTGACCCATTTTCATTCCTACTGAGAGAAACAGAGTTAGCAAAAGACAGAGTCCCTGTCTTGGACATGGTCAGATTGTTGGCAGGGAACAAGAAAACGCTCAAGCGATAAAGAGAAAGGAAGGCTGGGGACTTGGGGGGGGCGGTGAGGAACGGATACATCTCAGTCTCTCGGTAAATAGTAGGTGTGATGGCATCGACTTGCCCAACTTGGTGGTCAGCCTGCAGCCCACAGGCAAGGTCACGCAGTAGACTGTTGTGATAGATGGGCAAGAAGCAGCGGCACTGCCGTGCTCATTAGCATTGGGGGGTGGAAACTCCAAAGACAGGGCCAGTGAAATAGTTCCCTTTGCCAAGGTGAGCACACTAGAGGAGGCTCCCCAGAATTGGCCTTCAGCGTGGCCCAGGAGGCCAAGTTGACATTTGGATCGGAGGATTGAATTGGAGGGCTGGATCGGATCCTCCAGGTGCTCAGTGCAGCTGGCACCTCCGGGCGTTTCCACGAGAGTGCAGGGGCCCTGGACGACGCCATAGGTGTCCTCAGACATGTTCTCCTCCATTCTGGTCTAGGGGTCCCTAGGTGGTACCCACCCTGAATGCGATTGGCTCCTAACCAAAAGCTTGGGGCCCGAGGCTCCACAGAGGCTCCTTGGAAGAAAGTCTTAGGGATCTACTTCCAGAGACGCACCTGTTGACCCCTCGAAGGAGCCCAGGGCTACGGGGGTGCACCCGAGGTCACCATGAGTCAGAGCCAGCCATTGGTTTGATTTGATTTTTGCTTCCAGGATCTTGGGGTGCTAGTGGCGAGTAGGTCCGCGCTCATCACCTTTCTAGGGACGTTGCAGAGCCGCCTGGAGGAGTTCAGAGTTTGGGGGAAAACGTTCAACAGCAGCCCAAAGAGACTCATGGGAAGAAAACGCCTCAGCGGGAGGTTGCCACTGTGTCATTGTGGAAGCAAAGATGGTAATTACTGCCACGACAGAGGTTATTCAGAACTCTTCCTAGGGAACATTTCAAAGTGATTCGTAGGGGTGTGCATTAAACACAGCAGGAAGTAAAATGTTATCTAAGACTATTCTTGTCCTCGATTTAAAAATAAATGGGCAACAACAGCAACAAAAGCGAGGCTGAACATGCTGCTCCAGTTATCCTTCATTGGAGGCTCATCTCTCCCCTGACCAGGGGCTGACCCATCAGCAGGTGTGAGGGCGGTGCAGGACCAGGCAGTTCCTTGTCCCACGGTCACGATGAGTGGGGACAACCAACAACTACAGCCACACGTGAAAACATATAAATTCTTAGTATCATATCATCTCACTGCACCCATGGTAGATGTTCACATTACATGTTGAAGAGATGATGCGCTTATCACTTTGTTATGGACAAGAAGAAATGGAGAATGTGCCCCAGGGATATGAGTTAAGTGCCCATTGTAAGGAAAAGTAATTAATAAGGGGAAATCAGACCCTTGTAGTTTAGCTCTAGTATCATTTTCTCAGAGCCTAGGATTATAAATAGTTAAAAGGCTGTGAAGATATTTTCATGTTGTTATATATGTGCAGATGTGTGCTAATACCTGGGCTAGGCTATCCCTAGGCTACCTGTCTACTTTGTGGAAGAGAGGAGCTCATGCCAGGAAGATGTCCTGAAGTGGAATGATCTGAATAGCAGCATGGATAAAAGAAAGGGACCTTTAGAAAATTAACTGAGCTACATAATAATTTCTGCAAAAACAAGAAAAATAAAATAAAGACCTTTCTATGATTTTGCTATGAAAAAGTTAAAAAAAAAACCCTTATAATATCATACAATTTTATTTTTAAAAAACAGAAAAAAGCACTGCACTTGTTTCATTTGTTGGTCTTAAAAAAAAAGTAGATACCTGCCAATAAAAATGTAAACCCGCAAACCAAACTCACTGCCATCATGGCGACCCTAACTGATTGCAGCCCTACATCGAGTTTCTGAGACGGGGACTCTAACCAAGCAGACAGTCTTTGTTCCAAGGAGTGACTCCAACCGCCAATTTTTGCTTAGTTTGCTGAAGCCCACAGCACCACCAGGGCTCCTACGTTTTCTTTTCTTTTCTTTTTTTCTTAAAAATCTAAAACCAAACTTACTGCCACTGAGTCAATTCCGAATCACAACAAACCTATAGGACAGAGTAGAACCGACTCTGTGGTTTTCTGAAGTTGCGTGTCTTTAAGGGAACACAAAACCCCATCTGTCTCCCAAGGAGTGGCTGGTGGTTTTGAACTGCTGACCTTGAAGGTAGCAGCCCAACTCATAGTCCACTATGCCACCAGGGCTCCCACATTTTATTACATCTAAGATAAGTACACTTACTTTTGTTTTGATTTTCTTTGTTTTTTTTTTAATATCGTACTCAAAAACTTTCCCAACAAATGGATGTTAGGCCTCATTTTAAGCAAACTTTCCTTAAATCCCCTTTCCAGTAACAATTATCCTGTTATTGAAGGATTTCTTGTGCTCCTTAGGGACTATTTCAGATATGCAGCTAGGTCACTTTCCCCAAATACTTTCCTGTTAAGTCTTGACGCTTTTGCATCTGCTGGGCACCAATACTCACCGGGACCCTCACAAACTGGCTGCATGTAGAGATTTGTATATAATCTCATCCATAGCACATGTTTTCGTCCTTCACTACATGCTGTCCTCTCTGATGCTTTAGCCATCCACGTGATTATAAGATATCTGAGAGAAGAACATGGCCAATGTCTTGTATAATTTTATAGTCCCCAATCCCCCTTCACTACCTCTTTAGAGTAGGGCTAGCTAAGCTCTGGGGAAGAGATGTAAAGTCAAGGTCACTGTCGGAGCAAGGGAGACAGAGACGTCTCAGGGATCCATAAGTTCCCTGAATATTAAAGCAAAGCTCTGTGTGATACACATTTTCCTATGGATAGAGCTCACCCTTCATAAGGTTTTAAGGAGTCTGGGACAACGAATACGTATCCCCTCTACCTCCTGGAAATCTCACCTCTACTTTTTAAAAGAAATATTTAGGCAATGGCATGCGATGTACATATAAACATTGATCTCAAAATCTTACCTTTTCCACAAAGTACATGATGCCCTCGTGGCCACGCTGGCCAGGGGGCTTCCAGCTAAGCACCACATAGCTCTGGGTGGCCTCAGTTACAGAGAGGTCTGTGGGGGGCCCAGGAATAATTCCCTCTGAAAATAAGAAGGAAAGATGAGGAACACACACCTTCTGAGTAGCCTAGGATACCCAGAGTATCACAAGGTGTTGCTATAACTACTCTTCTACAGTGTAAAGATGCACCACATCTGAACTCCCCACTAAAACGTTATTCACTCATTCAAATGCTATCCGAGGTCACAGAAAGAATGATCCATTCAGACTTGGGGAACAGACCTCCAAGTTCTCCCAGAGCCTAGAATCGTTCATGTGCCCACTAGTAAGACTGGAAAAACTTCCAAGTCTTCAGAACTCTCTGTACTGTGGCCAGATTCTGCTAAACTAAAGGCTGCTCGGATCCCACTAGTAAAAGCAAGCCCCCAAAGAATTAAATGGGCTCCAAATGAACCTAACTACAGCTCAGATCAAAGCCACAAATATTTATAGAAATACAAAAATATTTAGCACCCAAGAGTGTAAAATTTAACATTTTAAATCAATGAAATCACAAAGTATGTATTAGTTATATCTGGCATAATCATCTTTAGATTCATCCTGGTTGGTGCATGTATCACTTTACTCTGATTGATTCCTCTATTGGCAGTACTATCTGCAGAAACAATAGTTCTTACCTGTAGGTTCCTCTTCGGTGACAATGATTTGGCCAGTCCAGGGTGCTGAAGGGCGAGCTGAACAAAGACAAGTATCAAATTAGCAAACATGTGACCCCATTGTTTCTACTGCACTCAGAAATGTGGTAAACTGGCCAGATGAATAACCAGTGTATTTGCTTCTAGTTATGCATTTTCTTAATAGATCTTTAAAAATATGTATATGGTATTGGGGGGATACATGATCTGTAGTCTCATGGGATTCATGATCAGTTAAACCGGTTGTCTACAATTGATTGTGTCTCAGGATAGCAACCCAATTTGTTTCATAGGGTTTTCAATGGTCGACTTTTTGGAGGTAGACTGCTATGGACTTAAACCACCAGGCTACAGTTAGCAACTGTGGTAGTTATGTAATTGTCAATTTAAGTATTAAGCGTGTAGGGGTGGAATCTAGCCTGTCAATCAGATCATAGCCAATGAGGCCTCTGTGTGGGCATGGCCTTCTCCTGAGAATTCTGGGATATGCTGATTTTTCCTCCTTGGAGGCGGGAAACACTTCTCTCCTCTGACTTCTCTGGGAGACATTGCAGCTGACAAGACACATGGAACCAGCTAGTGCCTAAGGTGGAGAAGCCACATGGACCTACCCTGATGCAGCCGGACCTCTGAAGCCGGAGAAGCCACGTTGAGACCCTGCCAGTGCTGAGATGCTTACAACGCCACTGGATCCAAAGACTTTCTACCCACTGGCCTGTGATCATCCTGCATTCGGCGTCATTGCATGTGTTTCATGAGTCTGAAGAGGACTTTACAGATTGCTATCAGACATATGGGCTAATATCGGACTTAGGGACTTGGACTGGACTGGGTTGGGATGCTTTCTCAATGTTCAATTCCTCTTGTATATAAATCTCTCCCTTCTATACATATGAGTGTCTCCTTGAATTTGTTTCTCCAGACTAACACAGCAACCAAGCATGGTAACCACTCAGGACTACTCCCACCATTTGTGAACGCACATTTACTTACCTGGACTGATTGAATGATTCCTGCCATCACCTCCCTCCACCCCCGCTAGAATTATACACAATTTAATGCTTAATATGAATCTCCTGAAATAAGCAAGCATTCAAGTCCCTTCTTAATATATAACACATATTTGGAAAAGATGTTTCTAGAACAGTTGCAAACCCAGTCTGTCAATAAGGATGAACAGGGGTGGGACGTTGATCTGGAAATAAAGCTCATCAGAAGAAAATTTTCTCCATTACATTTTGAAAAGTGTTACCCACAAAGGAAACCAATTTAAATGCTGAGCCGAAAAATGGATAAGATAGAAAATATAAAAGTTAGTCAGGAAATCCAAAATCTTTCACCAGAGTTTGTACAAAAAATAGATAGGTAATAAATAGGACAACTTTTTCCCTTTTCTTTTTTTAAATTAAAAGATCATTTTATTGGGGGCTTTTGCAACCCTTATAACAATCCATACATCAGTTGTATCAAGCATATTAGCATATATGTTCCATCATTCCTTTCTAGACATTTACTTTCTATTGAGACCTTGATATCAGCTCCTCTTTTTTCCCTACCTCCCACCCTGGTGACCCCTTGATAAATTATAAAGTATTATTATTTTCATATCTTACACCAACCACTGTCTCCATTTCCACATGGTTTCTGTTGTTTGTCCCCCTAAGGCCCGCGCGCACGCACACGTGTGTGTGTGTGTGTGTGTGTGTGTGTATGTGTGTGTGTGTTCATGTGTCAATCATTGTGATAAATTCCCCCTTCCTAACCTCCTCTCCCCACCTTCCCCCTACCCTCCTGGTAGAGCTACTCCCATTCCTGTTCCAGGACTCCATGTGTTGTGAGCTCTTATGTCTTATCTGTACCTGTGCACATGTTCTGTCCAGCCTGCAGTGAAAGGCAGCACTGGGGTCATGATAGTGGGGCATGAGGAAACCTCAAGGAACCAGAGGAATATTGGATGTTTCATCGGTGCTATGCTGTGTCCTGGTTGACTCATAGGACAACTTATTTTCAGTTCATACAAGTGTTATTTTCACTGGCATTTATGAATGAGGAGTACGTGAACTTATGAGACAGAATTTGTAAGTTGACTAGTCAGCTGACTAGTGAAATGATTGGATAGCAACCCAACATGCTGATTAGACAAATTTCTGGGAAAAAGAAAGCCGTTGTTTTTACTGAGATTCTTGTGAGGCCTTTACATATCATTAAAGTAGAGAAGGACACTGTGAATATGGAATAAACAATATCCTTCAACTAGGGTGATTTTGTCCCCAGGGACACTAGGCAATGCTTGGATACAGTTTAGTTGTCACAACTAAGGGGTTGCTACTGGCAGAGTGGGTAGAGGCCAGGATGCTAGAAAGCATCCCCCAATGCACAAGACAGCATCTTCACAAGAGAATTGTCCAAATATCCATAGTGCTACCACTGAAACATCTGGTGTGTGTTGAAGTGTTGACTTCCAACAATTCTTCTGCTGACCCTTTATGGCCATTAGTATTGGGAATCTACCACTTGTCTATCAGTTGGCACTGTGGTGGCTTACATGTTATTCTGATGATGGCAGGTATGCAGCCCGTATTTCAAATACCAGCAGGATCACCCTGAGTGGATAGATTTCAGCAAAGCTTCCAGACTAGGACTGAGTAGGAGGGAGGACCTGGCCACATGCTTTCGAAAAACTGGCCAGTGAAAACCTCATGGGTAGCACTGGAACATTATTTGATTGAGTGATGGAAGATGAGTCCTTGGAAGATACTAAAACTATTACTGGGGGTGGGGGGCTGTTTCCTCAACGTAGAGCTGATCTAAATGATCAGAGGGGACTAGAGTTTTCAGGAACTTCACTCGTTAGTGGGCACAATTCAAAATGAGAAGAAACAGCTGTAAACAATCATTAATAATAAGAAAGTGGAATGTACAAAGAATGAATCTAGAAAAATCAGAAGTCATGAAAAATGAAATGAAAAAATAAAGCTAGCTCTCTTCGGCATTGGTGAGCTGAAGTGGACTTGCATTAGTGATTTTGAGTTGGACAATCATATGGTCTACTATTTTGGGAATGACAAATTCAAGAGGAATGATGTTGCTTCCATTGTCCAGAATAACATTTCAAGATCTATCCTGAAGCACAATGTTGTCAGTGAAAGGGTAATAGCTATATGTCTCCAAAGAAGATCAGTTAATAAGACTATCATTCAAATTTAAGCACCAAACACTAATGCTAAAGATGAAGAAATTGAACATTTTTACAAACTTTTGCAGTCTGAAATTGAGCAAGCATACAATCAAGATGAATTGATCTGGGAGGAAAGGAGCCAGTCAGGGTGCAGTGTAGCAATGATGAAACATACAACTTTCCTCTAGTTCTTAAATGCTTGCCCACCCCCACCCCCACCCCAGCCCAATATCATAATCTCAATTCTACCTTACAAATCTGGCTAGACTAGAGGATGTACACTGGTACAGATAGGAACTGGAAACACAGGGAATCCAGGGCGGATGATCCCTTCAAGACTAGTGCTGAGAGTGGTGATACAGGGAGGGTGGAGGAAGGATGGGGTGGAAAGGGGAAAACGATTATAAGGATCTACATATAACCTCCTCCCTAGGGGCCAGACAACAGAAAAGTGGGTGAAGGGAGACGTCAGACAGTGTAAGATATGACAAAACAATAATTTATAAATTATCAAGGGAAAGTTATGGGGGGAAAGTAGGAAGGGAGGGAAGCGGGGGGCGGGGGGTGAGGAGCTGATGTCAGGGGCTTACGTGGAGAGCAAATGTTTTGAGAATGATGAGAGCAACAAATGTACAGATGTGCTTGACACAATGGATGGATGGATGGATTGTGATAAGAGTTGTATGAGCCCCCAATAAAATGATTTTTTTAAAAGATGAATTGATAATTACTTGCTATTGTTAGAACAAGGCCATGGGTCATTTGTTGATAAGACCATCAATTAGTTGCTCAGATACAAGTTCAAGTTAAAGCTAAAGAAAATTAAAAGCAGCCCTCAAGAGTCAAAGTATAACCTTAAGTATACCCCATCAGAATTTAGAGACAGTCTCAAACATCTATTGGACATAATTGAACACTAAGGACTGAAGACCAGATAACGTATGGATGACATCAAGAACATTACATATAAGGAAAACAAAAGGGAAAAAAAAGAGAAAGAAATCAAAAGGTCATTAAAAAGTCAAAAAAGTGTCAAAAAAAGTTGTCAGCAGAGACTCTAAAAGGTCCTCTGAATGTGGACTAGCCCACGTGAATCAAAGAACAAACAGTTGAACAGAAGATTGCCAATGGTGGCTCAAGAATACAAAGTAAAGTCTTATAAAGAAATATGCAGAGACTTGACATTAGAAAATCAAAAGAGAAGAACACACTTGGCATTTCTCAAGCTGAAAGAACTGAAAGAAAAAAAATTCAAGCCTCGAGTTACAACAATGAAAGATTTTATGAGCAAAATATTGAATGGCACAGGGAACAGATGGAATGAATTTACCAGAATGAATTGGGCAACCTTCAACCATTTTAGGAGATAGTATGTGATCAACAACGGATGGTAACGAAGAAAGAAGTCCAAGGCACTGTCAAGAAAAACAAGAGTCCGAGAATTGACTGAATAATAATTGAGATGTTTCGACACATAGATGCAATGCATTAAAGTGTTGAGTCATGTATGCGAAGAAATTTGGAAGACAGTTACTTGACTAACCGGAAGAGATCCATTTCATAAATTTCACACATTAGCAAAATTTTTATGAAGATAATTTAAAATGGTTGCAGAAGTATATCAACAGAGAGCTGCCAGAAATTCAAGTTGGATTTAGAAAAGGACACGAATAGGGATACAATTGCTGGATTTGAGCTAAAAGACAGACCTCCTGAAAGATGTTTACTTGTTTTTTATTGACTATGCAAAGGCATTCAACTGTGTGGATCACAACACATTATAGACAATATTACAAAGAATAAGAATTCCAGAATTCTTCATTTTGTGCATGTGGAACCTGAACATAGACCACAGGCAATCATTCAAGTAGACAACAGGGTTTAAAATCAGAACAGCTGTGCATCCGAGTTGTATGCAGTCACCATATTAATTCAGTCTGTGTGCTGCACAAGTAATTCATGAAGGTGGGCCACAGGAAGAAGGTGGCAACAGACTAATCAGCAACCTGTTAAATCAGCAGGTTCTCAACCTGTGGGTCGCGACCCCTTGGGGCGCGAATGACCCTCTCACAGGGTTGCCTGATTCATAACAGTAGCAAAATGACAGTGATGAAGTAGCAACGAAAATAATTGTATGGTTGGAGGGTCACCACCACATGAACTGCATTAAAGGGTGCGGCATGAGGCAGGTTGAGAAGCACTGTGTTAAATGAAGATGACACAGCGTGGCTTTCTGAAAGTACAAAGGGCTGAACACGCTTACTGATGCAGATCAAAGACTGCAGCCGTCAACATCAACGAAAACAAAATCCTCACAACTGGACCCACAGACGACATCACAATAAATGGTGGAAATACAGAAGTTGTCAGGGGGTCATTTTACTTGCATCCATAATCAATGCTGTGGTCTAAGAAATCAAATGACATATTGCATTGGGTAAATCTGCTGCCACGACCTCTTTAAAGTGTTAAAAAGCAACAGGTCACTTTGAAGACCCAAGTCATGGTATTTTCTATTAGCTTAAGCTGGACAATGAATAAGGGAGATGGAAGAAGAATTGATGCATTTGATGTACGGTGTTGGCAAAAAATATTAAATGTACCATGGAGAATCAAGTATTGACCAGATAAAATGTGAAACTGTTTCTTTTTATATAGAGAAACTCATTGTGCTGAGATATTAATGCCCTAATGGCCAGTATGGAGGTTAAGAAATTCACTGTGAAGGAGAAAGAAAACTATAGGCATACTTTAGAGATATTGTGGGTTCAGTTTCAGACCACGACAATAGAGTAAATAGGCAGTAAATCCAGTCATACAAACTTGTTAGTTTCCCAGGGCATAGGAAAGTTATGTTTACACCGTGTTGTGGTCTAGTCTATTAAAAAAAATTAAAAGGTTGTGAAATCACTAAAATGTGACCCTGAGACACAAAGTGACCACATGCTGTTGGAAATATGGTACCAATAGACTTGCTCAATGCAGGCTTGTCACAAATCTTTGAATCATAAGAAGTGTACTGTGAGGTGCAATACACAAGGGGTGCTGGTACCATAGGCACATGGTGTCATGTCATTAAAGTAATACATTAAGGAACCAAAAAGCCGTCTAGGTGCTTGGTTTTCAGATTTCATTTCGGACACAATACCTGAAGTTCAGTTCAACAAGGCAATGTGCTTTGAATGAGAAGACAGAGGAGAGAAACGTTAGTCCTTTAGAGAATGAGCGAGTCAACATGACAGCCCCTTATTTGTTGTTTTATTTTTCCCCTCGAGGATAAGCCGATCAACAGAGGATTCCTTACTCTCTACTCCCTCTAGTGGAAGGAAGAGTGAGAGAGACTCTTGCCACGAGGCTGATTCTTGCAGGTTCAGAAAAGAAAGAAAAACGTTAAGGAAAGATAGAAATGCACATGCTTACTTTTGAGTTTAGCCTTTTCAGCTGGATCCAGGGCAGCCACAGGCTCCGATACTCGGGAAGGTAGACCGATTCCGTTCGTATTCACAGCTCGGACGCGGAATATATAGGAGCGGCCTTCGATCAGCCCCGTGACAGGGAACCGGGCAAACTTCACGGGTGTGTCGTTGCACTGAGACCAGGTGTCTGTGCCCACTTCACATCTAAGGGAGCGAGGGAAGTTGAAAAACATTTAAAAAGAGATCTGGAGCCACACTGAGTTAAGCGTGATGGAAACGTTTAGGAAGAATTAATGGTAATATTTGGACAATAGGGTCAATATAACTACCACCACTGAAGAGTCCATGTGAAGATTGCAGAAATGGTGAATGTTTTGTCATCTAGACTTATTGCAATAAGAGATAATGATAAAAGAAAAGGACTGAAATAAATAAAAAGAGATCTGGCTAAATGTGAGTAGGTAGCTGCAGAGCTGCAGATCTAGCCAGTTGCTCAGGTGTCTGTGTAAAACATCAGAGTGATGTGCTAATTATTTCATTGCAGACCCAGGTTGGTTCCACGGCAGCCTGTCTCCTTGCCCAAGGGGCACGGAGGCTCCAGGCTTCCTGAACACACCTGTGCTCTTTGAGCTCATTAAAACCAGGTCAGCACTAGATGGGGCCCAGCTACCACTACCACCGCCGCTGAAAAGGATCATACTAGAAGGCCCTGGGCAGAGTAAGAGAAAGTCTGGAACGAAACTCAAAATCATAAAAAAGAAGAGAAAAAAGACCAGGCTTACTGGTCAGCTAGCGACTGGTTGAAACCCCCTAGACTCTGTTCCTTATTCAATTCTTCAAGTCTGCAAGGGAACTGAACTCATTCTCCTGGCTCCACTTTCAGCCAAACCATCGTTAGGTTCTAGGGGAAGCAATACATTAGAAACGTACGCGTACCTTAGACTGACCAAACACTTCAGATGGAAAGAGCAGCACTGACCAGGGGCCTCCCTCAGAAGGGGTTGGAAAGGAGGAGCCTGGAAACAGGAAGCTCAGGGAGGAAGTGGGATGATTTGAGGACCCGTCGAGAGGATTGCAACGGACGAGCGGGGACAAAATACGTCTCAACTGTTGAATGTAAACTGTTGGGCTGCCCTGTAAACCTTCACCAATTCCTAATAAACTTTAAAAATTTACTCTGATTCTGATGAAGAAGAATGGGAAACAAAAGCCATTCCCAGGCTGGGGGAGGCCCTGGGTTTGGGGGGCAGACGCAGCAAGCTGGCATCTGCCATGTTTACATTTGAGAGATTTTGAGAAGGGCGCCTTCAAGCATCTCCACTGCCAATGTCTTCAATCGCAACATTAATGATTCTTTTTGTGTGTGTGTGTGTGCCTTTTTTGGGCATTTTCTGTTAAAAATGGAACTAATGGTGAGAAAGTCAGCGCTGTAGAGGATGCTGTGGTTTGGAAGTCGTGCGCTGCATCTCACTCGACAGCAGCCCACTCCAAGCCAGGACTTGTACTCGGGTTGATCTGTATGGGGTGAGAGTGAGCGGTAGAGAGATTTTGAGACTTGCAGAAGAACAGGTGCTTAGGACTTCTGATTTCTCACTGGATGCTTTTACTGCCTCTGCTACCTGGGGTAGAGTGGGTCACTCCCAGAGAGCTGAAGATAACACCTATATGATGCTACTGGACTGTGCACACTCTTAGGGGCTCAATACATGATTGCATTATACGGCATCAAGACCACACAGTTCCTATTATCCGCGGACCCCTGCCCCAACCATTTAAGAATATTTAAATTCTAACTATATTACCTTCTCAATATGACTCCATGTTCCAAATGTACTATTCTCAGGTGATTCTTATGAGGAAGGAGTGGCCAATGACCATGCTAATCTGGTCAGTGTAGAGATTCTTCCATATCCTGCTCCAACATCACCCTCCCATTGTTCTCACCCGTAGGTTGAGTACGATCAGATACAGCTTCACTCCCTGTTTTCTAAACCGTTCCTTTGTCAAAACTCTGGAGCTGCTATGGTCGGGGTGTGAAAGTATGAAGGTGATTTTTCAAACTACTCTTGTGTCCAGCACTCCCACTGGCACTGCCCTCTCTCTGTCCTGATACTGCTACTGGGATTGTGGCAATGAACAGGAGAGAGTGCTTCAGGAAGACAGGACAAAGGGCAAAGGGCACCAGGGCTTCTAGACACTTTGATAGTGTATTGGAGCAGAGAGAGCACAAACCTACAGACAGGAGGATATTTGAATGACAGTTCCACTACTTACAGCCTACGTGACTCTTTTCAAATGCTTTGGCTATTTGCAAGAGCCTGTGTAGACCACAGAAGCCGGGTCTTGTGCCCACTCACATCTAAGGGAAAGAGTGAAGTTGAAAAACATTTCGAAAGAAGTCTGTAGGGCACACTGAGTTAAGGGTTATGGGAAGTTTTAGGACCAAAGGCTTAGAGCAGGAAGGATTATTCAGGTTCTAACAAGGCCTCCATGATTCTGTTACCCAGAACCCATGGCCATCTTTTATGTTGCTGGAGCATGGGCTGCCAGAATGCGATATTGCCTGATGTTTTATTTTTGGCAAATAAAACACTCACTTAAATAATACACCCCAGCATCTGAGGAATAAGAATGATGGAATGAAATGGAAAAGCTCTGGCACAGTGCGTGTCTCATGATATTTCCAGAAGAGAATTTTGGTCTCATTTGCCTGTCCTCCTGTGTTACAGGTAAATCACACCATTCTGCTCATTTTCTTTATTCTCCTGCTTAGGTGGATACAGTCTGAAAAGATCACCTTTGATCAAAATTGTACAATAAAGTTTTAAGTCATTGTCAAGGAGTCATGGATAGAATGTGGTTGTTACTGATAATTAGAAAACAATCCAATTGCACCTGCATTTGTTCTATGAATTCAAGTTGATGATTAGAGCACATTAGTTCAACAGTGGAATTTGAAAACCTTATCAGATCATCTTAAGTAAAGCCATTATGTGATATTAGGTCTACTTATTTCATAGTTTAATTCTGTTTTCTCAGTGTTAATTGAAGTCAGCAAAAAACTGCCTAGTGTGTTTGCAAAAATAACATAGGTGGAGGGTTTTGTACAGCTGACAAAACCATATAATTGGTGTGCTATATATGAAAAATATGGTACATTTCTAATGCATGGTCAGTACTACTCCCTACTAAGCATCTGAGGAGGGTGAACTTTGTTCATGAAGATCTTCAATAGAAGCCCAAAGCTGATTGTCAGGTGTGAGCAGTCGTTCTAGGTTGGAGAACAGAAACAGGGAGGTGATTTCTCGGAGAATTCAGATTAAAGTTGAGGGACAGCATCGCTTAGGCTGGTGAGGAGAGCCCAGGCTCGAGAAGCCAGACTGCATAACCCAAACTCAACGTCTGGCTTCATTTCCTTCTTGAAATGACAGTACCTTCCCCAAAGATTTTTTATTCAGATTAAATATATGTGAAGTGTTTAGAGCAGAACCATGTACATAATAAATGCTTAATAAATACTAGCCACGATGTTATTTTTATTATGATGAAGGCAAGTGGGGAACAAAATGTACTGATTCTCCTGGGTCTGTCCCTGAAAAGTTGGCAAGTGCCTTGGAAATGTGCCAAAGTTCAATAAAACAGGAACTTTAAGAATGAAAAAAATTTGATCTAAACCTTCACAGTTCATCATTACTAACTGATCAAAGAATGTGGAAGCATTTAGTGTTTGTTTAAATATGATGTCATTCTCTAAACACATAGTAAATATTTAGATTTATAATAACAGTTTATAGATTGACATAGTAAATAAACACTAAGTATTTCTTTGCATGGTATTGAGCCCACAGGCTTCAGTAATGGTCATATATTTATTTATTCATTGCTATATATAGGAGCCCTAGTGGTGCCCTTGGGTAAAGGTTAGCTAACCACAAGATCGGAGGTTCAAAATTATCAGTTGCTTGCAGGAGAAAGCTGAGCTCAGTTGCTCCAGTAAAATTTATAGCCTCTGAAAACCTCCATAGGGTCACTATGAGTTGAACTGGATTCCGTGGTAGTGTTTGTTTGTTTGATTTTCAAATAAATATTAAACTTAATATTCTTTGGTTCAAATATTTTGACTATAGTTGTATATACTCACATTATTTGTTTCTAGTGATTTCCACTGTCAGATTTTACAACTCACAAATGAAAGAGAATTGGAACAATTGTTTGAGTAGAAACGAAGTCAGAGAACAATGGATTTAGGCCATCAATCTAAATTTGTTGTCTTATTATCCAAATTGACTAGTTAATGGGTAAAAATTACATATTACGGTAACTCAATATAAAAAGCCAACTTTCTAAATCCTGTAAATAGGATTTCGTTAAACTTTCTGAAGTCGATATTCCTTAGTCACTGATTTACTAGGCATATGGATATGAAAAGTATTGAATACTAGCTATTTGACTTCCAAAGGGGCCTCTATTAGATTATAAGTTCATAGCATTCTTGTCAAATTACTTACTTGATGTGATAGTCAAATTAAAAGACTATCTATGGAGGATAGATAGGTAGGCTATACCAAGGGGCTTCAGAAATAGAGGAAGATTTACAAAAATGTTCTGAAGTTCCTTATATGTGGTGCATCCATGTGATACATACCTATGATATAGATATGTAGATACTCACAGAGAAAGAGAGTGTAGGAGAGAAATGTTCACTTAAAACTGATGGGAGAAATCAAGCATGCATCTCTCTGATCCAATGACTTTACTTAAACTGAAGTGAAGGTAAGCACTAACTTATCTATAAAATATCCCAGAATAGGACTCCCTCCGTCAACGGCTGGCTGCTTCCAAGAGATGATGATGTAATCTTTGTTGGCATCTAAGCATACCACATCCAAGGGGGAAGCTGGTGCGCCTTTAATCTCGGCATCGGCATCTAGGAAGACAGAGAAGTTTCCCATTAACCCTCTCGGATTTGCTCGCCAGGCTCAGCCTGCTGGGCCTTCGGGGCACACATTTCCGGCAACACCACCATATTGGCTACACCGCTGGTTGTAGGAGAGCAAGCTTCACTCTGATGGTTTGCTTACCAACATCACAATGTGCACTTTCCGTCTTCTGCAGGAAGCACAGTAGGTTTGAAAATAGAGGGGGTATGGAAATGACCCCTGACCTTTGCCTGGTGCCTGGTCAGAATCTTTGGAGAGAAAAAAACCAATACAGAGATGTTGGCACTTGCTACCAGGGAGAGTCCAGGGAAGTTGTGCCAGAGAGTCTGCCCTTAGGCCATGTATGTGCAATGTTGGCTACTACCTGGAAACTCAGAAGGAAACCAGCACCCCCAGACGGACCTCTGGCTCCATCTCCCAAAGAGTAGTCACTGTGCATTCCGCCGTCCCTAACACTGGGGACAATGTGGAAGAGAGACAGAAAAACATTCTTCTCGCTCAAATATTTGTTCGCAAACTGAAGATACCGATGAAAGGACTCTGATGTAATACTCACATTGGAGTTTCGTTGATCTGAGGCTAGTGAAAGTCCAGGGGTGGACAACAGACACGGAGGGCAGGGACCGTTTAGGAAATGGGATCTGTAGACTGCGTGTCTTCGGGACAGCACAATTAGTGACTCAGGGATGTTCTCAGGAGAGGAGGAAGGTAAATGAAAACATTTTGTTTATAACCTAAAGTAAGAACTATCAAGATGAGCGGCAGAGTCCCGGGTGGGCGTGGGGGTGGGGGGAGGTCCACACTGGCCCGTTCGTCCTGACAGTTGACCAAGCTTTTATAAACAGAGCGAGCAGGGGAAGAGGCCGAGACAAGTAGAAGCCACCCAAGTAAGGGAAAACACTGCTGCTGACTGAACAAGCACACTGATTTTCTATGACATGCACTTGTGCGAGGAGCCCTGGTGGAGTAGCGGTTATGTGCCACCTGCAAGGTCACCGGTTCGAAACCACCTGTCACTCTGCACGAGAAACTCGGGGCTGTCTAGTCCCACAGAGTGTTACAGTCTCAGAAACTCACAGGGACAATCATCCCTGTGCTATAAGGTCCCTATGAGTGGGCATGACGGACGGCAGAGCGTTTTGAGTGAGTACTTCTGTCACTTTAATGACAGCACGGCAGAAATACATATATCCTTCTGAGTTTAATAATTGTGTGTGGCTGTGAAACAGCTCAAGTCCCACCGGTTTGCAACATTCCCATTTTGGCCTCCAGAATCCGCTGGAAATTGTCCCGAGGAGAACTTATTTCCTGCATAAGTTCTATAGGCGACTGTAACTCCATCATCGTACCTCAAACTGGACACACGGTTCCTGCAGGATTCAAAATAGGGCACGGAAGCCTTTGGGTGGGGAGAAACCTTTCTCTGAGGGCGCCCTGGGGGGAGGCAGAGACAGACTGCTTAGCTTCCAGAGGTGACCACTCAGTCATGTCCTTCTGTTAAACTACCACCCAGGGACCCCGAACAGCTAGAGCAGGTGAGTTAGCCCCATCGTCTTGATGATGTATGGAAGGCTGGATAAGCTTGGCAGATAGCAGGCATTTAGGGAGCCAGTGGTCAGTCTTTCTAGGAAATTCCTTAGAATATGCCCTTCAGGGGGAAGGACCTGAAAACCTCTCGGGTCACGCAGGCCTTCATTCTTTGATTCCAGGAGTTCCATGTCTGCAGTGCAGTAAGTAGTCCTCTGCCAGGGGCTAAACACAGAAGTTAAAGAACGAGGATTACTTTCCCTCTTGGAAGTCACCAGGTGGTTGGGAGCATGGGACACCTGACATGAAAGAGCACACTGTCAGGCAGCGTGACTAAGGAGAGGGAAGTGAGGGACGCAGTTATATGGCCTTTGGGGTCAAAGCATTTGGCTTCCAGCAACTACTACGCAGTGTCTGGCCACCAGTCCCCGTTCAGTCAGCATTAATCCTCCTGGGGGCCTCTGTCCTGCCTTATCCTGATCCCCAAATAGCCACACGTTTCATAGGTTTGTTTAACTGGGTCACAGTTTAGCCTGTTAGTTTTTACACAGAATGAGCATTAACAACTTCTTTCAAAATATACCTAATCCTATTATTTATATTTATTATAAGTGCTATACATGCTTGTACCATATTCCATCTCATTTAAAATATGATCAGTTAAACCCCTTTTAATTATATTACTCAGAGATCACTACTGCTAACATATTAGCCGGTATCGTTCTAGATTTTAAATATATATATGTATATATACATATATGTGCTGAAAGCTGATCTTAAAAATTAAAAATGAGATTATTCTGGCAAAAGGGTAAGTCAAAAAGTACTGCTTCGAGGATCCTAGTTCCTACATGCACTGGTTTATTCCAGATAAGCATGTGTCTACAATCAGTGGACGGCTGCAGACAAGTTTAGTCTCTTTAAGGTACTTCATAATAGGGGTCCTCCATAAAAGCATGCCACAAAGACCAGCTACTCAAAGGGATGATCTTTCCATCAGCCTTTTAAGCCAGTTCAAAGATAATGAACGCCACTGTGTGTGGTGAACTTGTCAAGGGACAAGTCTTGAATTTACTGATACGATCCAGAGAGCAAATTTCACCGGAAGCAGTGGTTTCCAACAGGATGTGCTGGGCCAGTCCACTTCAAGGCACCTCAGAAGGTTCTTGTGACGGTCTTTTGTAGACTATTCCAAAGGGACAATCTTGACAGATTTTGTTGTTGAGAGACACGGGACGCTCATGGGAGCTTATTAGAAAGAAGTTTCAGGAAAATAGGAAACTGCATCGGTGAGAAAAGCTCTAGGAAATTTGGGCCGAGGGCTTTTTTCTACCATGGCAATGGACCTTCTCATTTTGTGAGGCAGCAAGGGCTATTCCCAGAGAATTACCCAGGGAAAGCTCGCTCCATCCTCCCTACAGGCCTGATCTTGCTCCTTCGGACTTCGTTTTGTTCCCCAAGCTCAGAGAACATTGGGAAGGATCCTGGTTCGAGTCCCTCGAGGCTGCCAGAACAGCTAGTTTGGTATGGTGCACATGGAAGGGCACAGAACTCTTTGGGACAGGGTTAGAGATAACAACACTGCCTTCAGAGGTGGAGAGACCGAGACGGAGGATATGTGCGGAAACACTATATTTTGATATTTTTGTTTAATAGCAGTTTCTATGGTTTTGTACCAATACTGTTTTAGTTACCCAGGTATACCATCAGTTTCCTCCACTGCATGGTATTCTGTTATTTATATGCAGCATTTATAATAGCATATTTAACAACTTGCAAATAGTAGATATTTAGATTTCTTTCAGTTTTCCCCAACACAATGTCTCTTTATCTTGGTCTGATCCAGGCCAATTCCTAGAACTAGCAGTCTTGGACATGTACACTTTCAGTACATACTGACATAATGCCTGGTTAATGTTAGAATCAATCATATTTACCAGCAATGCACACAGTGCCTGTTTTCCCGCTCCTTCCATTTAGTGTATTCTTAAAATATTTTATTATTTTAGTACAATAGATAAGGACATGATCTCATTTCCATTTTTTCCTGAAGTTAATTACAAGTGACAACTTATTCATATATTGATTTGCCACTTAAGGCAGCCCTGGCGGTGTGGCGGTTAAGGCCTAGGCTGCTGACCTAAAAAGGGCAGTGGTTCCAACCCACCAGCTGCTCTGGGAGAAAGGTGAGGCCGCCCTCTTCTGTAAAGATCTACAACCTTGGCAGCCCCGTGGGGCCCTTCGACTTGGTCCTACAGGCTTGTCCTGAGTCAGAATTAACTCAATGGCAGTAGGTTTGGTTGGATGTGGGTTATTTACAACTTTTAATTCTTCTTTAATGATGTTTCTTTCCCATCCTTTATGACTTATCATGTGTGTGTGTGTGTGTGTGTGTGTGTGTGTGTGTGTGTGTGAAAGAGAGAGAGAGAGAAAGAAGAGAAGGGAAGGAAGGACATAAAATAGTTTAGAAAAATATAACACAATATAATATTGGATAGCTGTGTGTGGCAGACCTATTGATGGGTTTTCTTTATTTTTAGCTTGTTTATATGACACTGTTGTTTCTTTTATAATGAACTTATGCTATCTATGTAATGAAATGCTGGTCAAACATATGCAGTTCTAGAATCTGTTTCTGAGGGCATACAGTACTTTATACACAGATCATACTGGTTCAGAAGCTGTTTTCTAAGCAGTAAAAATAGATGTCTAGAAAAATTACATTAAAATGACCTCCTGCAGCTCAACAGATACAAAGTTTTTAAAAGCACATAAAATATCATTTTTGATATTTTGACAGTTTGACAGTTTCTTCTTTTTTAAAACTTTTTTTTAACTGTAAGTTACATGGGGGGTGGTTAAACAGTCTGGCAGTCTCTTAAAAAGCAAATGTAAATGTACACATGATCTAGCAATCACATTCATGAGGTGTCTACTCAGGAAAATGAAATCTTGTGCTCACAAATATGAATGAAACTGTTCAGAGCAGTGTTGCTCATAACAGCCAGACTGAAAACTGTCCCACTGCTGAATGGACAGACAAATTGAGGTACTGAATCCTTGTAACTCAAGGATTACTGAAAAGACTGAATCATTGGGACATGATTCAGTAATAAAAAGAAGAAACTACTTAGATGTGTCATAAATGAATCCCAATAATATTCTCAATGAATGAAGGCAGAAGTAAAAAAAAAAAAAAAGGAGGGGAGGATCAATAGGAACAGAAAATAGATTCAAAAATATATTAGTAGTTTTCTAGAGCTGGGCTAAGAAGCCCTAATGGTGCAATGGTGAAGTGGCTAACCCAATGGTTGGCAGTTTGAGCCCACAGGAGGAAAGACCTGGTGATAGGCTCCTGTCAAAACTACTGCTTAGGAAATGCTATGGGGCAGGTCTGCTCTGCTCTGTGGGGCACTAGAGCCATGAAGACTGGCACCTACAACAGCGAGGTTGGAGTGGTGGATGAGTTAGTAATGATACTATACCGAAGTCTCTTTGAGATGGTGGAAATGTTCTAAAATTGATTGTGACTCGTGGTTGATTGTACAACTCCCTAAATATGCTAAGAAGCACAAAATTGCGTTCTTAAATGCATTGATTTTATATTATATATAAATTATATGCTTTAAAACAATTTTATAAAAGAACCTTAAAAACACCATTCAGATAAACTTAGAAGTGAGATCTTTTTTTCTAAATGTCAAATTCACAATGGGATTGCTACAATGTGTATCTTTGGGCTGTTATCTTTACCTTGTATCTTTTCAGTCCTCTCCCAGTGACATCTGATGGGTTTTAGAAACTATTTTCATTTCTTTGTTTTGTGGATATGAAAACTGGCCCGAATACAAATTTCAAATTTCTGCACTTATATTTTTGTCTGCACGAATTTCTATCGGTATTAATAATCATGTTTGTCCTAAACCTGGCAAAGAGTTCCAATTCTGAGGGTGGGCCTGAGAAATATTATAAAGAAATGACACTATGTTAGGGGTCCTCAAAAAGTCCATGAAGGGGTTGTAAAATAGCAATATTTTTTCAGAAGAGCGCACTCTCCCTACAGAAGATGTTCTTTGATTCAGGGCAGATAGCTCAGAACAAAGAGGACCATGTACGCAGTCCTCATTGAGCCAGTTCACGCAGAGGGGTTGACTGTACAGGTTTACTCAGCGATGAGCGCTAAAGTGGCATTTTCACTGCAATGTATGGCGAACATTAGTGCTCGTCCTGACCCAGAGGTGCTGGACTTCTCCTGGATTGCTCTTGTGGTCTCGGCATTGCAAATGTTCTTGCCGTTCGCTGGAGCTTACCTCGAACAAAGACATACGCGCTGTACTGTTCGTAATATTCTCCCATCCGCACGCGGATCGTATAGAGGCCTTCATCTTCTTTGTTGAGGTGAGAAAAGGTCAGTGTGGCGCGTTCTCCACTCCAGTGGGTCTGCACCCACTTGGACGGTGAAACAGGTGCTCCTAGGATGTTTAAAAAGAAAGTTAGCAAATTAACGTGTTCCTACCTTTCTCTCTTCTCAGCCTCCCCACCGCCTTTCTCTTTTTCTCATCTTCCTGATTGAAAGCTAGCTAACGAATCAAGAGAGTCTAGATCAGTGTTGAGGGGACAGAGGCCTGGTATATAATGTGCGAGACCCAATACCAAAGGAAACTGCAGGTTCCTTGCTCAGAAAGCAGAGAAAATGTGCCGTTATCAGTACTGACATGTAGCTTGCCCTCGAAATCGTTTTTTCCTTATCAAACATAATACTGATCATCTAAATGCAAAAAAATAATTTTAGTGACATAATTTTATACGCAATAAACAATCGTTTATTAATAGATTATCCTCAAGGAAGGGATGAGCCAGTCAAGAAACAGTATCCCACTGATAAAACATACAACTTTCCTCTAGTTCTTTAATGCTTCTCCGCCCCCCCCCACCCCCCCCCCACTATCATGATCCCAATTCTACCTTACAAATCCAGATAGACCAGAGCATGTACACTGCTACAGTTAGGAACTGGAAACGCAGGGAATTCAGGGCAGATGACTCCTTCAGGACCAGTGGTGAGAGTGGCGATACCGGGAGGGGAAGGGGAACGCAGGGGGGAGGGGGAACCGATCACAATGATCTACATATAATTCCCTTCCAGGGGAATGGACAACAGAAAACTGGGTGAAGGGAGTCATCGGTCAGTGTAAGACATGAAAAAATAATAATAATTTATAAATTATTTTTAAAATATTTAAAATATAAATTATTTTAAAAATTTATCAAGGTTCATGAGGGAGGGAGTGTGTGGGAGGGTAAATGAGGAGCTGATACCAAGGGCTCAAGTAGAAAGAAAATGTGAGTATGATGATGCCAACAAATGTACACATGTGCTTGACACAATGGATGGATGTACAGATTGTGATAAGAGTTGTATGAGCCCCCAATAAAATGGTTTAAAAAAAAAGAGTTGTACGAGCCTCCATTAAAATGATTTTTTAAAATATAGAGTATCTTGACTGAAAAGAGATTTATGGTTCACTTTTCTGCAAAACAATTTATTAGGTCATTACAAAGTGTATTTTTAGCAATTTATTTTGAAGTTATATAATTGAAAGTACTGTTAGTCATTCTCTGCAGATGCAAGATCACAAATAATATTTGATGTGTCTGAGAAGGATCTTTCTGCTGATGCAACTGATGCTAGAGTTGTCATTATAAAGGCTATAAAGGCTGCTGTGAACGATTATGAAATACACACTTTAGTACTCTAGAGTTGGTGATTCTTGAGGAACAATTCTCCTAAAAAGATTTAGCTCTTCCTGCAACTTGTTGTTGTTAGCTACCACTGAGTCGGTTTCCCTCCAGAACGAGGCATGGCCTGTCCGTCACGTCTCCATGATTCTTGACAGGCCGCCGCCCATTGCGGCAGCCTGGCTGAGGGTCGCCCTCCACGTGACCAGACAGGATGCCCTTTTCCAGAGCCTGGTCTCTCCTGACAATGTGTCCAAAGGGCATGAGGCAAAGTCTGGCCATCTTCACTTCTCAGGAACATTCTGGCTGTTCTCCTTCCAAGACAAATGTGCTGCTGCTTCTGGCAGACCAGGGTATTTTCGAGATTCTTGGCCAGCACCATAATTCAAATGCATCGATTCTCCGTCGGTCTTCCTTAGTCAATGTGCAACGTTCACGGGCATACGCGGCCATTGAAAAGGCCATGCTTGGGTCGGGCACACCCTAGTTCTTAACATGACACTTTGAAGCTGTCTGGTGCAGCAGATTGGCTATTGCAACGCATCATTTGGTTTTGGCTGCTGTTTCCATCCACATTGGTTGTGGATCAAAGCAAGATGAAATCCTCGGCAACGTCACGTTTGTCTCCACTGGTGGGATGACCTTCTGGGCCAGTTGGAAGGCTTTGGAGTAGCAATCCATAATCGTCACTGAGGGCTTTAACTCCTCCTCGCTTCCAGCAAGCCAGGTTGGGTCATCTACATAGCAGGTGGCTAGGAAGCCTTCCTCCAGTCCTGATCCATGCTCTTTGTACAGTCCAACTGCTTGGACCATGTGCTCAGCAGCTACCTTGAGTAAGTATGGTGAGAGGATAATGCTAATGCCTTCAGTACCGTTTGGCCTGCCTCCCGTGACCTCAATAGGTTTTGAACAACCTCTTGAAAAGGATGAATGTCAAGTTCTTTCTGGTACAATGGCTGTGTATTCCTTACATTATCCTTTGATGCTTCCTAAAATGTTCACTGTTTGCCCCAGAACCCTTCAACATTTCAACTAAAGGCTTCAGTTTTTTCCTTCAGGTCTTCACTTTGAAAGATGGCCCACGTGTTCTTCTCTTTTGGCTTTCTAACATTAGGTCTTTACACATTTTATTATAAGACATTACTTTGTCTTCTCAAGCTGCCCTTTGGAATTTTCCATTCAGTTCTTTAACTTCATAATTTCTGTCATTTGCTTTAGCTGTTGTGTGATCAAGAACAAGTTTCAAACAAATTAGTTCCATATAAATCTGAATTTAATTGAAAATAATACATTTGAATTTTAATGTTTCTTCTCATATGTACTATAACTTGTACCAATTAATTTAATGCCTCTATTGACACCTCAGCACCTGATGTGGAGATGTGGAGAAAGTCAGCAACAAGGAGGAGGACCTTGAACGAGATAGGTGCATGTAGTGGCTGCCACCAGGGCTCAGACACTGCACAGTTGTGAGGTGACATAGAACCAGCAGGGTTTGGCCTATTGTGGGTAGGGTTGCTGTGAGTGAGGCTGCTAGGGTGGCACCTAACAGCAGCACCGTCACTCTCTCATCAGTTACAAGGAAAACATGAGTTTTAAATGGTCTTCCTTATTAATAATTGTTTCACTGAAAGTTTTGTATGAAAATAATAACTATTTCTCATTTTTACTTCTAAACATGTGGGTTTGAGCTTGGCACGTTTGCAGTAAGTTTTCCAATCCAGAAGCTCTAAAGTTTTTGAAGCATTCTAATACTTTCTTTGTGCACGTCATTGGAATGACTATACGTGTGCTTGGGTTCTGTAAGACTTTAATGGCAAACTTGGCGACCTGGTCATCCACAGGTCTTGCGCCTGGGCTGAAGCCAGGAACTGAAGCATTCGTGCAGATTTGGCAGAGAGGAGTCCTGGGAATGGATGAGTACACTGACCTTCCAGTGTGAGGTCCCACCCCACGTGGTGTCCTTTTTCTCCTTTGGGGTTATTGCTACAGCTACCAGCACTGTTGCTCCCCCGGCAGCATTGCCAGCTCCCATCTGGACCTGGGTCCCTAGCTCTTAGCCCAGCCATCTGTTGGGAACCATAGGGTGCCTCAAAGTGCTCCCGGTTGATACACAGAGAAAGGCCAACTGAACGTTGCTCACCATGTCTGGGTGCTTAACCTGGGAGCATTTACCTAATATTGCTTCTCTGCTTGCTATGAGTCAGCATCAACTCGGTGGCAGTGAATGAGAGAGCTCATGCAAATGTTCCATTGCTCATCATGCCACTTACAAAATCAACATGAAACAAAAACAAGTTCTTAAAATTATGAAGGAAATGCCAAGATGGTGACAGCGGAGCACCAAACAATAGCTCAAGTCCCCTGTGATAGTGATTCTGCAGGCTGGCACAGTTTGAATGCTTATGAAGTTATCCCTGGAAAGAGCTATGTTCAGTCCCATCTCTTTCGTGAACTAATTAGATAACTTTGGGTAAGTCATTTAATCTCTCTCAGTTTCAGTGCTTTCCCCATGAATAATATGGAATTGGAGCTGTCATAAGTGCTACATAGGAAGTGTCACAAAACAGATATCCTGCTATATTGTTCCAAGATAATTTTTTTAGCTTATAAAACTTAAACAAAATTATATGACAATCATACTAATCCACAGCATAGTTAAATGCATCTGGAGTTGTAATGCTTTTGTTCGTTAACTAGCTGGTTTGTTGTTTTTTAAATATAATCCCAGTCAAGATGTTAAGATAAACTGAACAGAGCAATGGGAGTCCCCAGGTCTGTCCACTTCTCTCCCCTACGTCGTCCTCGACGAGCCAGGTGCTGTTGTGAGCCTCACAGAAAATGTGTCAGGTGCCTAGAGGGACGTTTAGCTCTTCAGTATCAAGGCTCTTCTCCTTGCCTGGGCCTCACAGGACACAAAGATAGGAGGAAGTACAGACTTTTCGACGAGATTAGCTCCTAAGTTTTCTTTATTAGAGCAAAAGTTCTAACAAAAGTTTCAGAGACATAAAAGGAAGCACTAAGTCGTGGAAAGAACCAGATGCAGAAGTCTGCAGTCTGGCTGCACCAGAGTTCAGTGAGTGAATTCAGACTGTTATTTATTCTCTTTTGACATTTTTATTGCCTTTGTCTATTGGATGAGATTAATGGTACAAAAACTCAATTCTTCAAGATCGCAGATTTATATTATCTTAGAGATCACATTACTTTTAAAGTTCAGTGATTCAACCGTTTGGGTCGCTTTCTTGTTTGCTTTGGTTTCCTTCAGCCGTGGAACATTATGCAGATGTCTATGTAAATATGACATCTGAGAAAATTAAACCATGTGTCTTCCTCACACAGTTCTAGACACGTTTGAAAAAAAAAGACTAACTTGTGTGATGAGGCTAAAGAACTCACAATAGAGTTATGTTCTTTTTTCCAGCAGTAGTCAAAATATGATCTAAAAATTTTTTAGAGACAATTTTATCTACCTTTGTATCTTTAAGTGATATCAGTGTAACTGTGACTATCGTCAGACTTACCAGATATTCCAGATAATACAGAGGCTTTATTATGTTAGAACAAAAATGTCAAGATCTAAATGACCTCTTGCTTTACTCAGCTGGATTAAGTAGTAAATAAAGTTATGTTTTGAAAAAGTCTCATCCATTTCCTATTGCATGACTGATAAGCCAATGAGGAAAGGTATTTTAGCAATAAACTTACAAAATAAATATACATTATACTGTCACTCTTTCCACATATGACTTCAAACTCAACTCAGTCCATCAAGTCGATTCCAACTCGTAATGACGCTACAGATTAGGGTAAAACGGTGGGCCTCCAAGACGGTAACTGCTTATGGGAGCACAACGTCTCATCTTTTCTTCACATATTACTTGATAAGAAAATTCAACCTCTAAAAATATGAGGATGCTTCCAAAAAATCATGAAAAACTGTCATTCCCTTTCCTTTCACTTTCCCACCAACTTTTTGAAGTTCCCTTATGTATTACAAACACTTTGTACTTTGATATATATGTAGAAACTTAATTTAAAAACATTGAGTAGGTTGTGGTGGTTGTTGTTGTTGCTTTGGTTGGGTGCCATCGAGTCTGTTCCAGCCTGTAGTGACCTTACGCACAACAGAACGAACCACGGCCAGGTCCGGTGCCATGCTCACAATTTTTACTGTGCTTGACCCACTGTTGCAGCCACGGTGTCAATCCATCTCTTTTCGGGCCTCTCTTTTTCTTTGGTGCCCCTCCACTTTACCAAACAGGCTGGCCTTCTCCAGCGACTGGTCTCTCCTGACAACGTGTCTGAAGTCTGTAAGAAGGAGCACTCTGTCTGTACTTCTTCCAAGACAGATCCGTTTGTCCTTCGAGCAGGCCATGGCACTTGCAATGTTCTTCTCCAGCACACAGTTGACGGGCATCGACACTTCATCGGGCTTCTTTATTCACTGGTCAGCTTCCACATGTGGGGGAAATATGGAGTGGAGCAGGAAGCATCAAAAGAAGATGGAAAGAATACACAGAGTCGCTGTACCACAAAGAGCTAGTCAACACTCCGCCATTCCAGGAGGTTCTTGCATCTGAGCAAGAATCACCGGTACGGAAGGAAGACCACTGAATGCATTAGCCAAAAACAAGGCTCCCGGAATTAGTGGAATGGCAACTGGTATGTTCCAACACACTGATGAAGCGCTGGAAGCACTCACTCGTCTGGGCCAGGAAATTTGAAAGACAGCTACTTGGCCAACTGACTGGAAGAGATCCATATTTGTGCCCATTCCAAAGAAAGATGGCCCAACAGGACGCTTAAATTATACAACAATATCACGGATGTGAAAATGTAAGTACATTTTATACTGAAGCTCATTCAACAACAGTTGCAGCAGTACACTGACAGGAATCTGTCAGAAGATTCGGCCAAATTCAGAAGAGGTTGTGGAATAAGGGAGATGTTTGCTGATGTCAAATGGATCTTGGCTGAAAGCAGAGACTCCCAGAAAGATGTTTATTTCTGTTTTATTGACTATGCCAAGGCATTCCACTGTGTGGACCATAACAAACTACGGATAGCATTAGGAAGAATGGGAATTCTAGCACATTCCATTGTGCTCCAGTGGAACTTGTCTGTGGATCCAGAGGCAGTTCTGTGAACAGAACAAGGGAATCCTGCATGGTTGACATCAGGAAAGGTGTGCGCAAGGGTTGCATCCTGTCACCATACTTATTCAATCTGTATGCTGAGCAAATATCAGAGAAGCTGCACTATATGAACAAGAGTGTGGCATCAGGACTGGAGGCAGGCTTACAAACAACCCGTGGTATGCAGGTGACACCACTTGCTTGCTGAAAGCCAGGAGGACTTGAAGCACCCACTGACAAAGATTGCAGGCTTCAGTATGGATTACAACTCAATGTAAGGAAGACCAAATACTCGGAACTGGACCAATCCATCATGATAAAGGGAGAAATGGTTGACGTTGTCAAGGATTTTGGGTTACAGTACATGGATCCACATCCAGTGCTCATGGAAGCAGCAGTCCAGAGTTCAAAAGATGTGCTGCAGTAAGTACATCTGCTGCACAAGACCTCATTAGAGTTCTGGATAGTAGGAATGTTTCATTGAGGACGATGGTGCAACTGACCCAAGCCACAGTCTTCCCTGCATCATATACATGTGACAGTTATCAAGCAGGTAGGTAATTTCCTACAATTTCCAGATCAAGCCAATTGTGATAACAGACATGCAATATATGGACACTGGTCTAGGCCTGGGGAAGTTACACTTAACCGACTTATATGTAAAAATAGAACATTTTGACAAGCCAGTCAGGGTGCAGTATAGCACTGATGAAACATACAACTTTCTTCTAGTTTGTTAATGCTTCCTACCCCCCACTATCATGACCTCAATTCTGCCTTACAAATCCAGCTAGACCAGAGCATGTACACGGGTACAGATAAAAGCTTGAAACACTGGGTATCCAGGACAGATAAACCCCTCAGGACCAATAATGACAGTAGCAATACCAGGAGGGCAAGGGAAAGGTGTGGGGAGAACTGATCACAAGGATTTACATATAACCCCCTCCCAGGGGGCCGGAGAACAAAAAAGTGAGTGAAGGGAGATAGCCCTAACCCTAACCCTAATGGTGTAAGACAAGAAAAAATTTTTAATAAATGTATCAAGGGTTCATATGGGAGGGAGGGGGAGGGGAACATGAGCTGACGCCAATGATTCAAGTAGAAAGAAAATGTTTTGAAAATGATGATGGCAACATAAGTACAAATGTGCTTGACACAATGAATGTATGTATGGATTGTGATGACCTGTATGAGCCCCTACTAAATGATTTTTTAAAATAGAAGATTTCAATAAGTTACTTCAGTTTATTTCATAATTAGAATAAAATTGTTTTAAGAAATCTTAATGTGAACAAAACAAAAATTGTAAGCAGTTACTTACTTTGAAAAAGTATTTTCTGTGTTATTTCTTACTTGTCTCATGAACTCTACAATCTTCTTTGAATTGAGGGTTAAAGACTCACCGTTTCGGTACCACTGAATCTCTGGCTGGAAATGTTTAATTTCAGGAGTGATGACTACACGGCAACCGAGACTCATGGTCTCGCCTTCTCTCCCAAAGGACACATCAAACTTGTCATCAAAGTGGATCTCAAACTTGGAGGCATAACCATGAGGAGTAACAGCAACTGGGAACAACAAAAACAAGCCATTTATTTCTTCTCATCAAAGAGAGACAGAGAATTTTCATAAGTATAGTCACTAAGTGGTCTCAACAAAGACGGATCAAATCATTCATATAGCACAAAATGAGACTTAAACAAGAGGTACTGAGCCCATAAGCATATATAATTTGAAGAGAAATTATTCCTTCAGTGGTCAGATAAGCTGTGTTTATTTTTATTATAATGAATAGAATTTGAAAGGCCAAGTTGAATGTCTTAATTAAAATGTAAATCAATACCACATTTCACGTAGACTTAAATTGTTAGCTGCAAAATATGCACTTTTTTAACTTTACATTCTGAGTCAATTTAAACTCTTACATTCTTGTGAGAAAATAGTCATAGTAGCTCACATGTAAAAACAGAGGATTCCAGTAAGTTACTTCAGTTTACTTCATGATTAGAATAAAATTGTTTTAAGAAATGTTAATGGGAATAAGACAACAATTGTACGTATTGTTACTTACTTTGTAAAAGTATTTTCTGCATTATTTCTTACTTATAAATTGAATTAAAGTCTGTTTCATGAACTCTCCCAGGTTCTCTACCTGCCTCCCGACCCTACCCCCCACCTCCCACCCCCACCCCCACCAAGTAAGTTAAGTAATGCCTGTTTATAGAGAGGCTATTATATGCCACACACTTGGCGTTTGATTGTTATCTAATCCTTGTGACAACGTCCTAGGATAAACCAAAAAGCCTACTACCATGGACCCTATTCTGACTGATGACGCCCCCTGTGAGACACACAAACAGCTCTGCCGGCCCGGGGCTGTAAGTCCTTACCCAAGCAGACAGCTTCCTTCTGTCTCAGGGGGCAGCTGCTGGGACCTTTTGGCTACAGCTCAATGCCCACAGATATTATGTTTAAATGGGAATATGGAAGTTCACAAATGTAATATACTTCTAATGCCAAAGCTGCACAGGACAAAACAAACCCAGTGCCATCAAATCCACGCCAATGCAGAGCATCTGTAAATGAGTTTCAAAAGTACCATGTGTGACACTGATATGCTAACCTACTTCAAAACCGAGGGCTCACTCACACTTTGTCTCTCTTCCTAAGAACTCTGGATATTAATTCAAAAATGTAAATGAACATTTATTGAGTTCAATTTGTGGGAAATACTGATCCAGATTTTTAATATCGATTCAATTGGTTCAATTAGGCCACACAACCACCCTGTCAGATAAACGCTATTATTATCTCTAGTTTATCAACGAGAAAGCTATAGTAGAGAGAGGCTAAATAACTACCCACAGAGCCACGATTCAGACTGGCAGGCTGTTTCCAAAGCCTGTCCTTGCAACCAACACTGTCTTTGACTTTTATCTTCCCAGGCGGACCAACCAGCCTGAACTAACCAACGCGGAATCACGTCTATTTAGAGCGCAGCCCCCCCCCCCCCTTGCCCTGCTTCTGTGTAGTGTTTCACTGAAACCACACAGAGAAGAGCCTTCAGGAGATCTTGTGCAGAATCGGGGATCTGGACTGGTTCCACATCTGCCTTGAGAAATAGAAATGAAGGTGACTAGGAAGATCACTAGTGATCTTGAAGTTAGAGACTTGCCTGGCCATTCAAGAAGAACTCACAGAAGATGAGCCTAACTATTGGGTTCTTTCTCTATCTGAGGTTGATCTTGGCATACTGAAGTGGCTTTGGGTTCAGCAGGAATCCCAGGCAACTTGAACAGCCAGGAGACAAAGCCCCACTGCCTTATTACTTTCTCACTCTGACCGGAGAAAATGGTTTAGAACAGAGTGTTACAAACTGTCGCTGAGGGGCCAAACCTGAACAGCTTTCCAGCTTATGTACCATGAGGAATTTGAATTCTTTTTTTTTTAAAAAGGCGGTTCTATTAAGATATAATTTACATAAGACTCACCATCTAAATGTAGGCTCACCATCTACAATTAAATAAATGTTAGCACAATTGGAAATAAGTGCAACCATCATTACAGTCAATTTCAGAACATTTTAGTTACCTCATAAGAAAACTCCATACCGTCTAGCCTTCCCTGCCTCCTACTCCAAGCAACTGCTTCCTCCTTCTATGGAGTTCCCTATTCTGGATATTTCATATCTAGAGAATCATACATGTGGTCTGCTGACATTGTTTGGTAAGCGTTAAGACTGCTAACTGTAAGGCCAGCAGTTCAAATCCACCAGCTACTCCTTGGGGAAGAGGTGAGACTGTCTGCTCTGATGAAGATTTACAAAGGCTTGGAAGCCCTATGAAGGGTCATTATGAGTCAGAATCCACTTGCTTGGATACTTGAATCCTTTTTTAAAATCTATTTTTGTACATGCTTGCGTTTTAAGGGGTCTCTACATATTCTAGATACAAATCCCGTTTCAGATATGTGACTCAGAAACGCCTTCTCCCATTCTGTGTGGGGTCTTCCACTCTCTCAGCGGTGTCCTTCGAAACACAATGCTTTTAATGATGCTCGATTTGTCTGTATTTTACAATTTGCTGTCATTTCTAAGAAACCATTGCCAGCAATCAGCATGAAAAGATTGAGAATGCTGACACATTGTGAAAAATATAGCCAATGTCAGAGAAAAATATGAAATTAGTCAATGAGCACCTAATTTGCCAGGCAAACTTTCACCAAAATCATGATAAAAAGGAAGTCATTACCTAGTACATGGTCATTAAGATGTATGGCTACCTTTTCACCTAAGAGTTTGATGTAAGATTTTCCTATCTTACATATAGATGCTTAAACCATTTGTAATTTACTTTGTAATAGGTAATATGAGATAGACGTCCAGCTTTGTCTTTTAGTTTAGTTTTGTTTTGCCGGTGGCTGTCAACAATGTCTTGAGAAGACTATTCTTTTGCCCATTGAATAATCTTGGCATACTGGCAAAACAAACAAACAAACAAAAACAACCTCAACATAGATATATGCACTTATATTTGCACCCTCAATTCTATTCCATTGATACATGTGTATGTGCTCTATAAGCCAGTATTACATTATCTTGATTACTGAAATTACAACTCTTTACAGGAGTAGAAAGTCTCATCTATCTCCCATGGAGTGGCTGCTGGTTTCAAACTGTTTTCCTTGCGGTTAGTAGCCCACTGCGTAACCATTATGCCCCTCTAGAGAAAACAGGGTGAGGAATTTAAGAAACTTTTCAGCAAAAAAACAACAACAAACAGTAGCAGGTTTTAAAAATGGAAGTGCAAGTTCTCCAACTTTTCTCTCTCCCTCTCTCTCTTTCAAGATTGCTTTGGCTATTTGGGTTAATTTGTATCTCTGTGTCTTCATCAATAATTTTCAAAGCTAGCATTTTTCTTTTAATTCTGGAAAACTAAGATGTTCAGATTGGATTATATTTCTCAGTCTGGCCATTGTAATTGTCTAGTTATTTGAACATGATAAAGATTTTTACTTGTATTACTTCCCATGAAATGAAGTTCTGACATTAGATGAAATACTCGAAGTTCATAAATTACTATTTTGAAAGGAATTTTTAAGTGTATTATTTAGCTTATGAGCAACCACCTAAGGTTGGTTTCTCTCTTCTCTCTCTGTTCTAGGGAAAGAAGAGTGATGGAAATAGACAGACAGACAGAAACGCCAGTCTCCATGACCCTGAGCTCAGAAGAACGAGATAGTGCCCCGCAATCACAACCAGCTACTCTGAAAGAAGAATATTAGGAAATCTTGGACAGAGCAGGAGAAAAATGCAGAACAAAACTTAAAACCATAGAAGAGAGCAGACCTCCTGATTAGCTAGAAACTGGTGGAACCCACTTTGTGACCCTTACCCTTTAGATCCTGGAACTGAATTTATCTCTCTGACAGAATAATCAACCATTTAAGAGCAGCATTTTTAAAGGAATTCAGCTCTTCTCTTCTTATCCATTGTTGCTCCACTTGGACCTTGTTAACAGCTTTATTAGTGTCAGACTATATAAGAGAGATTGGCCTCCCTCTTCATCCATGGGGTTTTCTGGTATGTAAAGTCAGGTGAGGAAAAAGATAACACATTCAAGATTCTCTCTCTCTCTGAAGAAATCTCTTGAAATTATTCTTGGATGATGAGGGAGGGCAATGAATGTACAAATGCGCTTTGCACAATTGATGTATGTATGGGTTGTGATAAGAGTTGTATGAGCCCCTAATAAAAATGATTTAAATAAATAAATAAATAAATACACACAAAAAAAGAAAAAAAAAAAGAGCAGCATTTACTCAAGGGCAAGTTTAGAGGGTTAGGAAATAGGAGGAAGGAAAACAAGAAATATATGGAAGAAGTGGGATAAGTAATGGTACACTGAAGGGATTGCAATGGATCCATTGACACAATGGATACATAGAAACAATTAACTGTAAAACATGATCTGCTCTGTGAACTGTCCCCTAATTCATAATGAAAATTTGAAAAACTTATTATTTAACCCTCTATTATTTAATTCTTGAGCCAACTTTATTCATCTAAAATTGTACTTCATAGATTGCTGCAGTCAATTATTAATTTATTATTAAACACCTACTCTGTGTTAGGTATTGGAATTTAGAAGTAAAATTTCAGCCAGTGAGAGAGACAGGCATGTAACAGTGAATTATGTCCCTTCTGGTCGATGTCTAATAGAGATGGCCTGGCTTCCCAAGCCACCTCTAGCTCTGGCTGGTGGGGTGTGGGGACTGGGTCAGACATGTACTTCTTGAGAAGGTAAAGCTGACTTGGATATTGAAAAAGAGGAAGAATGCTTTAATATAGGTCAGGCATATGTGCATTTGTGGTTTAAATCACTCTGCCTTTGTATAATGATTGTTCTTGGCTTCATATAGAAAGCTTTGAAAGCATTTGCTACTACAGCTAGGATTTTTATAAAACCAGAACAAAGCACCTAAACTTAGGACAATAGCAAACAGAAACTAAAAACTAAAACTAATCACAGCTACCTATTACAGGAATACATATTAGCATACATAAAGTGTGTGATACATATATTATGCACTTATATACTAGTTTATTCCACTACATTTTAAATCAAGATTTTAGCAAACAGAGTTAAACTTACAGCTGAGGGGCAGGGTGGAAGCCCCAGCATGGAAGCAAGTCTCATCAAACTCTCCTTTATATCCTAAAAAAGGAAAAGAAAACAGAAACGCATATGAAGAGCTGAATGGTTTATTATTTTGGGAGTAATTTTTTATTAAATGCACTTTGAATAAAACAAGTCCAGCAAACGTACTCTTGACGACAACGGAAGCATATGCTGACAGCTCCCCTTTGACGTTCATTGCGGAGGCCCGGTACTGAGCTGTGTCTTCGAAATCACATCTGAAAGAACGCCATGTTAAAGCATGGTCATCACAGGGCATGCCTCTTACGTAACAGATGGACTGCCAAGGGACGCTCTGCTAGCATGGTACTCAAAACTGGATCCATGGGGCTCTTGACAAAACTACTGCCTCTGATCGAGGTCACTAGGGGATTTTCAATTCCGACACATGCATGTGACACCTGGCAATGATGAAGGATGACTGAAGAAGAATTGGAGCCTTTGAATGATGGTGAAGAATGTGAAGTATACGATGGGCTGTCAGAAAAAGGAACAAATCTGTGTTGGAGGAAGATTAGCCAGAATGCTCCGTAGAAGCCAGGGTGGCAAGACTACATCTCCCATCCTCTGAGTGCATCTCCAGGGGCGCTCAGCTCCTGGAGAAGGATGTCAATGAAATGGATGAACACTGTGGGTGCAACCACGGGCCCCACCACAGGGATGACTGTGATGCTGACACAGGACAGTGTGTCACGATGAACTAGAACTGACTCGATGGTACCCAACACTAAGTTGTATTGGGAGCAGAAAGCTATCCAGGGGCATTAGGGGGAGGCTGGCCTTCTAGCCATCCAACTTTCAGCAATAGGTCTCATTTGCGGGCAACAAAGATGAGTCAGCTCTCTTCTTGGAGACCTTCACAGCCTCCCTGACTCCAGAGCCAAATCTAGGTTGACCTAATACATTGTTCTAGACTCAAAGTATCACTAAGTTATACTTTAGACCTCACTTCTACTAAGGCTCTGGCCACTCTTGGCATTTCGGTTCACAGCACCACACAAGTAGTGCCATTTGGAAGTGCATCTAAGTTCTGGTACAGGAATCAAAAGGTCTCTAATGACAGAATTAGGGAGAACATGATCTCACGCACAGATGAACAGGCTAATATTTCAAAGAGTCTTTTGACATTTGTCCTCACCAACTCCCGTGTCTGCCATCCATTCTTGGGACTGAATTTCATTAGTACAAACTTAGGCCTTTTTTGATATTTTAAGGACATCAATAGAACTCCTGCTGGGTAAATACTGTCACCCTTTTCTTATCTCAGGAGATACTGAGCAGCAGACATTGATGTGACCAGGTTGGGTCCGTGCCTGTTGAACATCACAGGTCCCCAGGTTTTATCTGAAGCCAGTACTACTTGTGTCCACTCCTCTGATCTGAGGAAAATGCTATAAATCCCTTGAGATGGGAATTAGGCAAATTTTATTTTGACATCTCAGTATTTCATTGCTTTTATCTGAACTTAAAATGGTGGGAGCCTCTTAGTCCACATAACTGGGAGGTTTAGATTTCAAAGCCATTTTCAGACACAGGAATAGATTTGAGGACTTTGAAATGTTGATGTGGGACCAACTTTCAAAATTTGTTTTGAATTCTGCTTTACCCTAATGTAACCCACTGTTGACCTTGTCCCACAGGAACCAATACATAGTGCACGGTCAGTTTCCTGTTGTTCCTGGGGAGCTGGATGGAAAAGGGAGATCTCTAACTCCAGTGCATATTTCAGTGCACGCCACCCAATCTCCATGTCATTCAGTTATTCACTCCACCCAATCTCCATGTCATTCAGTTATTCACTCCACCCAATCTCCATGTCATTCAGTTATTCAC